GTCTCTCCCTTAATTTTAATCTATGAGAAAACAATAAACTGTAAGCACTTTAAGATAGCACCCCTAAGATTATTCCACGAAATCCAAAGTACAGTAAAATATAGCACTAATATTATTAAAAACTAAATAAAATATTGTCAAAATCTAGTTCACAAAATGTCTAGAATCGATAAAAATATCTTTTTTGTGCAACTACATAATGCAAATGACACGGTACATAACCTGAAGTATAAATAAAAAACATGCTAAAAAAGTGGATTATTTCTAACAGTACTTGATGTGATTGACAATATAGTTAAGGGTGTTTGTTTTTTGTTTATCATAAATATAATTGGCTATTAACCATGTCAAAACTATTTATCCATAGTAATTAAATTACTTTTGATTAAGGTCGTGGATGCGCCCTGCTGAGGAGTCGCACAACAGGACGAAACGACCGTCCAGCGCTTCCAGGCTTTCCATGGTGGTCTAGCTTCAACTGACTCATGATCTTAGCCATTGAAATTACTATAATATCCACAAAACCTACCTGATATTAATTAATTTATAATTAAACATTATTCTCTGATTGGCTGATAAGTCATTCAAGATTGTTGGTATAGTTCAGTTTTTCTCAGTCTATATTTATACGTAATTAAGCGGTCACTATTTTGTTCCTATTGTAGCTTATTAACTACGTACAAGTTCATATGTTACTCTTCAAGTTAAACATTTTGCGTATATATAAGGGCTACTACTACTACTACTACTACCGAGATCTAAGTTTGTGAAGTGTAGTTCAAAACTGCGACTTAGTGGAAAATTCCATGAATATTTACCAACGGTAGAATTTTGTATAGTGTTATTTACTGAACTGTATCAGCTAGTTAGAAACTCGGTTGTACTTACTTTGAATTCACACATATTTGTATGAGAGCTACAGATACTCAACCAGCTAGTCAAACCGAAGTAGTTGAAATGAAGCTTGAATTTACCAATCAAAAAGAATAATAACAGATGAGAACTAAGCACTTAAATGGTTTGAATTATTTTTTCTGGTTAGCGTTTTTTTAGCGAGTTTTTTTTACGTGATGAGGCCGCTAACCCTATGTCCAACCCTCTTCTTTAACACGGGCTTGGGACCGGCAGTAACTCTAGAAGTGCTACAAGCGGAGTTATGGAACTCAAAACAACTTTCAACCAATATCAAAGTAAGAATCTTCAATACGAACGTCAAGATAGTCAGTTCTACTGTAAGGAGCTGAAACTTGGAGAACTACTACTACAACCATCATCAAAAAGGTACAAGTATTTATAAATGGTTGTCTACGCAAGATACTCAACATCCATTGGCCAGATATCATCAGCAACAGCCTTCTGTGGGAGAGAACAAACCAGCTTCCAACTGAAGAGGAAAATAGGAAAAGACGATGGAAATGGATAGAACATACATTACGCAAATCGTCAAACTGCATCACGAGACAAGCCCTAACTTGGAATGCTGAATGGAAGCGGAAAAGTGGAAGGCCAAAAAACACATTACGTCGGGAAATAGAAGCAGATATGAAAAGGATGAATAGCAACTGGAAAGGATTGTCCACAACAGTGTTGGATGGAGAGTGCTGCTTAGCGGTCTATGCTCATTCACGAGGAGTAACAGGCGTAAGTAAGTACTAATAACTTAATCAACCCATTCTTCATGTTTGAAGTAGTAAAAACTCGTTACTTTCGAGACTAAAACACAATTTCAACTACTTAACCATATAACCAACTGACGACTTGCTTTCTGTCAATTCACATAAAAATAAGTCAATGATACAACTATACGTCAGCGAATCAGTTTAAAATGTTCACATATTTTTTAGGTAAAGGTATACACCTAAATCGATACAAAGAGCAATTTCATTTCCTTAATACATTACAACATAAAAACCGAATTCACAAAAGACAAGAAAAGTATTCTATAGATAGATATATAAGTTTATTTATATATTCACATAAATTTGCATTACGCAATATACAGTTAGAAAAAACAAAACAAACAAACTTTAAATGTAACGGCAATATGAAGTGCTGTAAACGTGTAATGGGATTGAAAAAAAAAACAACACAGTGTAAAAGAGAACTAGAAGAGGGTGATGTGAAGAAAATCAAAGAAAACGTCACCAGGATATCTTACCAAAAAAAAGAGAAAGATATAAAAAGACCAATATATATAAGCATAGAAAGAAGAGTATAAAGAATAGAGAAATCAATAATAAGTACAAAACACGTACACTTACATAGTTGAATAGATATTGTTATTGATAAAATTCATGTCAATTTCATTCTGATAAAAACAAACAAACAAGAGAAATAGAGATTGTAAATAATATCGTTGTACTGTATACAAATATATTCTATTCAATCACTGGCATAATGTTGTAATGAATTTCGAAAGAGACAGAGAGAGATAGAGAAAGAGGGGGAGGGGGAGGGGGAAAAGAACCTATGAACACAAACAACAATTGAAAATATCAATCAATTGTAAATAAACACTAAATTCTCCATTTAAACAAACAAACAAACAAACAAACAAACAAATAGGGATATTGAACACCTAAATGATTGTCAGGCACTTTGAATTAAAAATTCAATAAACATTATTCATGCCAAAAGTATTTGTGATTATTATTATTGAATGAGGTAAGAAAATTTTATTTCTTGTCTTAGTTTCATATTGATATAAATAGTATATTTAGTCTTTAGTTTTAAAGAAAGACTATTTATTTTAAAATAATTAATGTGCGCGCCATTGTTCAATGTAGATAATAAAATAAAATTAAAAGATAAATTAATATTGTAGAAATAGCATAGAATAGAGACCGAGAGAGAGAGAGAGAGTGGTAGTAGTAGTAGTAAGGATTAATGTGTATGTGACCAAAACATGAACATGGATAGTTCGAGAGAAAAAAAACAACAAAACCGGATAGTAATGTGAATAGTTTAATAGTGAAATTCCTATTGAATTAAAACAAACAAAACAAAACAATCATCAGATTATTGTTATGATTCAATGCCTCACATAAAGTAGAATTATTAGTAGTATGTTATCATTTTTGATAAATTTTTTTAAAAAAATTGACAAAACAAAACAAAACAAAGGGATTTGATTATTCATTAAAACAAGAGAATAATAATAATAAAAGTAAATCAAGGTAGTAAGTAGTATAAATTGTATTGTTTTTATAGAATATTAGACTAGAGAAATAAACAAACAAACAAACAAAAACAAAACAGTTGGTCAATGAGATGAGGTTGTTCTTTAAACAACCACTACAGCAACAACATTGTCTCTAATTTGTCTATTTCACTGGTAATAATAATAACAATAATAACTATAAAAAACAATAATCAATAGATTTAAGCAATTGTCATACTCTTTACTTGTTATTAATCAAATGAATAAAGTGTTCATTTACGAGATAGTAACTAATTGTTAATTTGTTTGTTTGTATATGTATGTGTTCTTTGTAATGATGATAATAATAGCGATACATAGCGACTGAGCGAGCGAGCGAGCGATAGATAAAGAGACCGAGGGATATTAATGAATTCGGAATTGAAGTTATACACAAATTATACGCAATTAGAAAATTTGGATTTTTTTTCTTCTTCTTCTTTTAACTTTAACATTGAACAAACAAAAAAAGTAGAAGAATAGAGAACACAAAAAGAAACATTTACAACTTTACAATAAATTATTAATAACAATCATATTGTCATTATTAGTAGCATTTCAGTGATTATATTCATTCATTAATGAAATAAATATGGAGGTTTAAAGTAGTAGTAATAATAATAATAATAGTAGTATGTGAATAACAAGCAAAAATAAATTTCTTTCATTGCATAATCCAATAATTATAAAAAGAAATTCAATGAATTATGGAATCATTAATAGTACTGGTATACAGAAGGGAGAACAGTGTGAAAAACAACATGATAATAATGTGTATAATATTCATAGTTTGACATTAAACAATGTTCTTCATCATAATTCCATAAGTGTCGGAAAAAAAAAAGAAATATGAAGAGTGAAGAATCAGTTGTGATAATGTTGCTAAACGAGATCAATTGAATATTGAAACTAGGAACCTATAAGAAATTCAAGGAATTCACATTGACTAGATGATGACTATGTAAACAAACAAATAAACATTGTACATACGCGAATAGAAAGACGAGAAAAAAAAAGAAGGAAGATGATTGAATTTTACAGTGTTTCAACTAACAACAACAACAAAAAATTCCTATTAAATAGATATTTCTAGTTTAACTTCCTGTGCAGAGAAAAAAAATGCTCATCTTGTGTATATATATATCTTATTTGGTGTAAGAAGAAGGTGATGACTATTTCAAAAAACAGTTGACTATACAGTGACATACATACACCTGAGTAAAGAAAAGAGATAAGATATGAGTACGATGATGTAAGAGATAGTAAAAGACTAATAGATAATAAACAGAGGGTTTAGAAAATGATGAATGTGCCACGTGCTTACACATGCAAGCTCACCTATCAAAAGAGACATATTAAATACATAAGATTAAGAGGAAGAGAAGTCGGGAATACACCGAATAAATAAACACATTAAACAGTTTGGTAATGCATATGGCAATATGTATCACACACAAGTACATTAAGTAATGGACGAAATGAGACAAAATAAACACAACCGTTTGAGCACCACACTAACTCCACATAATTGTTGCATACGATGCACATTCAAAGCTTAATTAACACTAGTGAAACAAAACATTACATTACAATAGTAATCGTGACTGACTGCTACGTTTTGCATTTGTGCTATATACGCAGAAAACAATAATAACAAGAGAAAACTTGAAACCAGAATAGAACATTTTAACAGAACTTAACAAAAACTAAAGATAGGAGATAGAGATTTTAGAGAGAGTATTACAATAATAAAGAGAATGAAACAACATAATGACAATAGCGTTAATGACAATAACACCGATTATACAATCTCGTAAAATAGACCATTTGTTGAACAAGCTGATTGGGAATTTTGTATAAGTTTATTATTATTATTACAATTATTACTACAGTCATTTGCAATTTTACACGTGGACGACATATCATCTGTGATTGTATTCATGATCAAATTATTATTTGATGGGGAAGTATTAGTAGTAATGAGGAGTTTATCGTTGAATGAATCTTCTTCAGTTAACTGAAATCCATTAACTAGACCATTAAAACGACCATTATTACTATTATTATTAGTAGTAGTACTAGTAGTGCCATTGATAATAACATTCTGTGATTGTTGATGATGATATAGATTATTCAATGGTGAAGAATAACGTAATCGTCTAGACTGGTGTTGTTGTTGTTGATAAAATCGTCCACTGACAGACGGTGAATATGGATTGATCGATGGTATCTGTGATGTGAAATACGGTGATATAAATGTTTTATATCTAGTACTATTTATTGGAAATAATTGAGATTGCACTGGATAAGCTAATGAAGTAGTGATGTTGACACCTGGACTAATAATATTATTATCGATAGAATTCAATTCATCCGATGAATTACTATTATTAGACGATAGTGTTACAGTAGTGTTAGTAGAAGTAGTAATAGTGGTAGTCGAAACGGACGTGATAGAACCTGTTGTCGTTTGTACAACTTCTTCATTCAATGGATTCTGAGGACCTAATACGGCTAAATGTGTCATAACTGACGTACCACGACTAGTAGCAACCGTGGAGGCACTAGTATTTCGATCACGATATCCAGTAGGAACAAAATACATTGGTGGAGGTGGTGGAGCTGGCGACGTACCAATAATAGGAAAGTTCATATTTGTTCGTATTGCATTATTAATAGTACTGTATTGAATTGGTCCACCAACTGTGGGATTAGTACACATAGGATTAGGATAACCCCCACCTACATATGGAACAAAAGGATTACTTGCAGCTAAAGCAGCGACTGATGAAGACTGTTGTAGGCGGAACAGCTCTGTTTCTAAGAGACGAGCGTAAGTTTTATACCGTTGAATCTAAAATATTTCCAAAACAGAAAAAATAACGTTTAGCGCGGGAAAGGAGAAGAAACAAGAAGCAAAATAATCAACAGCAAACAAAAATCGAAATATGTTGAAACAGTAAATAGACAGTAAAGTTGGTTGTCACAATCCAGGTAAAGAATATTATTTAGAATATCTCACACTAACGAATTCATTATTTAACGCTCATTCAACGGCGAAGAAAAGCAAAAGAAATGAAATAACTATAACAGTTACTTTATTTGTATCAGATAATTCGACAAAATTTGATCAGCATTTTAAAAAATTAAACAAATATGACATTGTCTACTACTCGGTGAGTGATTAATTAATGTATTTTAGTTCCGCTGAAGGTCAGTTAAAACTAAATAACACAAAGGTAACCTTTCAGACTGTGAAATTGGGTAATCATGACTTGAATCCATAATAGGGAGCATTGATTTCTTCAATATTACAGATACAGATTGCTGATGAGTGCGAGCTAGCACAAACCTAGGTTCAGAGTTTCCCTGTAGGTTACTTCCGACCAAATAACATCAAGTCGTATACCATTTTCAAAATCTTCAAGTGGTTCAGCGGTTAAGGCACTTAGTTTCCAATCAATGGATAGGAGGTTGAAACCTAGCTTTATCTATTTCATTTTACGTTGCCAGATATTATCATTAGGCTCCCGAACACACACACACATGAAGTGTGTCTCAAAACCAAGCACATCAGCCAGTACTTGATAACTCGACAACGTCGATTGAATTTAATTTATCTCTTAGTAGTAAAATATCAGGATCTTATCCAATCAAACAATTGTTTAGACTGACACACAATAATTCATCTGTAAAGGTTGTTTTAGTTACTCAGTTACTGATGTAAGGGACTTTAATAAATCAGTCTACTTTAACACAAACGAAGTAGGCCTTAAAGTGAAAGCTATTTAGTCTGAGTCACGGGATGAACATTAACACAAGTGCAGGTACATCTAACTAATGAATCTTTGATAGAACGAAACGCGGATCCTGCATTTCATTGCTAACTACCATTCAACTCTACCATGGTGTTTTATTGCGTCATGTGTAAAAATAAGCAGAAAGATAAATAATCACTGGATCCAGTGTTTCCTGTCAATTATCTCCAACCACCATCTAAGATTAATGATTAGTTAGGTAAGTAAGAAAGTAACGATGGCAGATCTGATAATTGTAAATTAAAGACATGTCTATGACTAAAAAAAAGTGTATAGAATAAACAATACACAAGCAAGTGGAAAAAAGTGATAAAATATTCATTCGCAAGTCTGATCAAACAAGTTTGTTTTTCTTTGTTGTTAGCAAACATAATTACTAAGAAGACTAAAGTATCAGCGATAGAAAAGAGAACAAATAAAAACACAAACCAACCCCTTAAAAAACTCTATAGTGTAGATAAATAAATGGATATACAAGAACAGGATCAGATATATTTTCTTCATTGAAATTTTAAAAAAGCTTTTATCTACCATTTATGTAAAGAGTAGTGTGAACTTGGTGGTCGGAAAAGAATTTAGAAAAAGAACTTCAGTAAATTTAAGCATAGCATTTGCAACAATTGATTTTGTTATATGAAGGGGTTACAAAAAGTATACAAGAGAAAAAGACATTTTGATGCATACATTGAACAGGAATTAAACGTCGAATTGCGCTGTTTCGTAACCACGTACATTTATTGTTTTAAAGCGACTACTATCCCTCACTTTCCTCATAATGTTACCTCTTGAAGATTATCAGAGAGTAGGATAGTATACAAATGTGGAGTAGTGCATTAGTAGTAGTACGTTGTTCAATTCACATCAACTAACTGATAGGTTCGAACCCCACTCCACCTACTTCGAATCTGTGTAATCAGGTAGTATCACTCATTCACTCGACCTCAGACTCGAATCCAAGTGAAGTTGTTGACAGTATAGAGATTTGATCAAAAAAAAGTTTCAAATGGGATAAAACTGAAGTGCGCTAATTGGTCCATTTTTAACTAACTAGCTCTGTTAAATGAGCTAAAAGGACTCTGGAATATTCCTGTGTAAAGTTTATTTATAAATACAGTGGGATTTTGTAGCTTAAGTTGCTATTTTCTGCTTTGGACTATATTTACATCCTATCCGAATCGTGTTTTTATTTGGGAATGAACAAAAATACTTGGCCAAATAAGTACACGAATCTGTACCTAGTGAATGAGTTGATAAAAAGGATAGCGTAAAAATATTTTCTCAGCGACAAAAGAACTTTTCTCGTCAATTTGTTTTGATTTCTTTAACAGGCCTAAATCTGATTATGAATGCCCTCAAAAGATCAATGGGTTCGTTAATTACAACACAGTAGAGTTGGTGACTAAATCAATCTCTAACGCTAACACAAATAACCAGTTAATATTGCTATGGGTAAAATCCTTACATAAGGCGTTTTTCATCAAATGTTGACGAAATTACACTTTGAAATCCCTCCCAAAAAAATTCCATGAAGGAAACATACAGTTGTACAGTCAGAAATTGGAAAAGAGAGAAAAAAATCCATGACAAATTGATTATCCGCTGGAAGTAGTTTACTTTATTTCTCCCTGATAATATTGATTTTTGCATTTCAGTTTCACTCTTTGTTTTTGTATTGAAATTCTCTGAATAAGAGGTAGTATTGTGTGTACACACGTGTGACTCAACATCAAAGGGGGTGAAAAATAACACATCAAGATTTTGTACCAAAGGAAACTTTCCCTACTGATGAATATGTAATTGTGTGTATGTATGAATGAAAGAATCATTCATATACAAACATGGAGTCAAAGCATCCACAAGTACTAACATTAGATGGAAAGAACGTGCATATATACATTACAATATAATGTATATTAATTTCTTATAGTTAAGGTGTAAGTGTGATGATTAATTTGAATACTAACAAAAGTAATTGAATACCAAGCACACATATTTGTCTGCTATTATGTGTAATACGCAAAATACATGTGTGCATACGATTAAATCGTCAAGAGACAAATGTACATTGGGTATGTATGCATGCATAACAAAATAGTGTATATACATTTACTTTGTATGTTGAATAAAGAAACTACTGTAACCGCATAATGGGTTAACAACAACAATAGGATCCATTTAAAACCTAAACTACTCGTCAGTTAGTTTCCTCGATAGGCTGTAACACCACTCACAGTGGGGGTATATAAACACTGTTAGTCCAAATGTACAAGTTATTCTTTCAGTTATTATCAGCAATCTGATTAATTCATTCAATGATTCATATAAGTTCGGTAAGTAAAATTATCCAGATAATTATGATAGCGTTACACTAGAACACGATTTATTTAATAAATAATTATCCTTTTAACATGTATACTTTAACGGACGGATTATCATTCGTCAACAGTATCTATTCTACGAATAAAAACGGGAGACAGATTGGACTGAATATGTAGTACTGAATTAATTTGTTGTTGTTGTTATTATTATTAGAGCATATTGGAGCCAATGTCCAGAACATACTTCAATTGATCAATGGTATTTATTACGGTAACAGTTTAATTTCAACTGCTTTGAAGTTTTGTTAGAGTTTATGAAAAACATTTGGTTCGTATAGAATAAAATAGTGAACTTTTAAAATTAATTCTAACATTATAATGGATCCAAACCCGTCGTATATTTAGGTATCAATATCAGGATTGGGATTTGATATTTTCAAACAAACTGAGCATTGAGTAAAGAGTTAATAACAAATATATTTTTGTTATATGCTAATGAGTAAAAAAATTGTACTGTTGACATTTTGTAAGTTAATGTAAACCACTTTACTCTGAAGAAGTGGTTTACATTAAGTTACGAAACGTCAGAAGTACAATTTTTTTTACTCATTAGCATATAACAAAAATATATTTATTACTATCCTATTTTTATGTTGCAAGAAATACCGATAAGATAATTTCACTCTAATAATTTCACCGACATGTTATTTATGATGTGGATAACTGTGTTTCAATGTGTAATTTTATAAATGAAGATTCTTGAGCGGTGTTATGGGGTAGCTGTGTCACTTCCAGGTTGCACATAATTGACTATGATATGCCTAGGAAAAGAGACCGGGTTGGAGATGGTATTGATGACCTAAGAGTGTGACCGCAGTACTCAAGGGACAACTGCTTGAGGCCTGTCAACAGGTGGTTCTTTAGAAAGTAGCTTTTGGTATGTTGGTCCAATACTTTCAAGGCGTTATGGCCGGTGACGAAAATTTGAAAAATCTGAAGTGTAAGAATTTCAGTGTCAGCTTTTTCTGACTCCATTTTTGTGTTGTGGTTAGTCAACACAGTTGCGGATGACGGTTGTATACTTCAATGTCAATGATAACAACAATAAACTATAGAAAACGTTCCAAGAAGAAATGATGTTAAAATTTTGTAGGAACAACCTACAACCTATACAGCGAGCATACACACACACTTACCTCAGATTCCATGAATTGTATACGTTCTTCATATTCCGCACGTTGTTTAGCACTGATTATAAGACCACCACTACTACCATCAGATCCATGTGTTGTGTTACTGTTGGAATTTAACGAACCACTACTACCTTTCCTACGTCTGCCTAGACTACCTGTTGAAAAGACGGACATGAATGAACTAGATGAGAAGGGGATAGATGTCGATGAAGCACTAGTATTGATTGTCTCAGTGGATTTTAATGAGTTCAACTGTGATTGAGATGTTACTGAGGGAGACGGAGTAGCAGTAGTAGTCGTTATTGTCGTAGTAATATTGGTCAAATTGTCAGCAACTGTGGATAACACGTCAGTGTTTACATTATTAACATTAGTAGTAGAAGTAGGAGTGGTGGTAATAACAGTTTCCAAAGTTGATATATTATCTTCATTAGATAATGATGATTTCACAGTTTCATCAAGAGATGATGATTGTGCATTTGAAGAAATCTTACGATTTTTATTACTACTACTACCACTACTACTAACAGAGGTGGCAAGTAGACGAGAACGTAAATCAGTCAATTCCTGATCCAACTCTAACAAACGTTTTTGATGTTCCTCAAGTTGTTCACGCTTTTTTAAAGAGTAAAAAAAAGAGAAAGAAAGGACAAAACACAGTAAAATCACGATATTATAAAGTAAAATAAAATAAAATAATTTTCCTTAGTTTAGTAGAACTATTTACATAAGATAATGAAAAATAAATCAAACAATCGAAGTTTTATAGCTATCAGAAAACTAAACCAGACAGTAGTAGTCATAAGTCATGGTCAATATAGAAGAAATGGCCATAAATGTGAACATTAGGCCAAATTAACACAACATGATAGGATAGCGAGGTGAAATTATCAAGATCACTTGGGAATACAGTTTGAATAATTATGAAAAAGACAAAAGATGGAGAAGAAATGAAATAAAGTGATAAAACGTATGAAGTTAAAATTGAAAGAGCGAGTCAAGAATAGGACAAAAAATGGACCTAGACTAAGAAAAGTATTTAACCACTGATTTCGATTATCACACGGATTCCAACCAGACATCGGCGTTTGAGCAGATAACAATGTGCATCTGTTTGAGTAAAATTCGTAAAAGATTTTAGGCTACCACCTAACGTTTGCAGCTATACGCCATGTGTGCTACTAATGGAAAGACTTTTGACTAATAGTAGCTCACAATTCGTCTCGAGGTCATTCAAGTACCTCTATATTATAAATTGAATAATGAACCTACGCTCTCTCAACGTATTGACAACACCTCCAAACGAGGATTTCTAAAAGAGAGGGGACGGGTGGACACCGAGTCAGGTATTTTGATTACCCTAACTTCCATATGCTGGGAAGATGTACTCCTCTGTGTGTTTGTGGTTCTTTATCATCTATTTAGAATCCTACAGATTACGACAAAATATCGATAAACACAATGTAATGTTCATGATTTATTGGATTCGTTTTTCTGCCTGCAAACGGTATACATATTTATAACCATAAAGTAATATTTTCATTCACAGTTAGTTTTGATATAACTCAGTAAATGAAACTACACGTATGTGTGTAAACACCTAGTAATATCATATAAATTTGAAGGCTAGTAAAGTATCGACAGAAGCACATGGATTAAAGAGAAGCATAGAAATGTACGTTATACAAGACAGATATCACAGTGGCTGGAACCAAGTATGGATTTCATGAAGTGTTGAAGGGAGGGGGACACTAACAGTCACATTTTATGTGACGCTATCTGGATAATCGGATCAGTATGTGGAGCATGTCTTTAGAATCAGCGATCCAGCAACAGCGGTACTAAGTGAAAGTGAGATAGTCTTTTAATCACTAATGATAAAACGAAATAAATACTTTATTTCAACCAATATAAATTAATAAGAATTAAAACAATGAAGTGTGCCTGAACCAATCTTAAGGTTATTGCCAGCCCCCAACTCGAGGGGTAAAAGTAGAGTTTGAAATGAGGTTCGCGACCCAATCGTGTAAAAAAGCATCTTGCTAAGAAAAAAAGCTTGTCAGAAGTCATTTAAACCAGATAGGGATCATTTACACAGCTAATTTCATTATATATATACTACTTACCATATTTAATTTAGTATATGTTGCAGGTAAATGAGGTCGATGAAAATTTCGCTCTGAACTAACAGCTGATGCTAAAGATGGTGCAGATAGAAGAGCTGCAACAAAATTAATTCGATCAATCCAAATATCTACTTCTTTTGCATCACTAAAAATGAATTTATAAAACAATACCAATTAAGATAATTGATCTTATGAATAATATAAAGTATCATAATATTCTATTTATGAACTCAATGATTAGTACTTGGTCTCCAGTCACATTTTAAGTGTATGAAGGTTGTTGATATGACTATCCGGTTGACCACTGAGTCATTCTCGAACACACTTTAACAGAAAATACTTAGTAAGCAGACCATAGGACACATTTAACTGAGAACTGGAGGTAAACATCAAAAGAATGAACAGAACTTTGCAACAACTAGAAAAAAAAGTCAATGACAGAGTTGGTTTAAGAATCCTGGTCGATGGCCTATACTTCATGAGGTGTAACAGATGTAAGTCATTAAGTATGAGGCACAAAAATCTCAGGATAGATAAAGTTTCGTCTATATTCAAATAACAGAAAACACCTATCAATAATTTTGATATAGGATTTCCGACAAAAAGTGTTAGCCAGTGAATATGAAGAAATAAAATTAATTCTACTAATAAATGAAAGATGGGTAAGGACTATTGTTTTAATGGAAAGAAAAAGTTGCAAAGTCGCTACAAATAACGAATTAGATAGTATTCGTCACTGATTAATTTCTTTCGGGGTACAACTGGGTATCATACAGAACACGACATCTACTTTATTCTCGACTTGACCCTTGGATGTGGGGTCAAGGTTGTGCATTGCCGAAGAGTCCCATATGAAGTACAATTAATTCTACTACTAAATAAAAGATCGGTAAGGACTGTTATTTTAATGGAAAGAAAAATTTGAAATTTTTACAATCATTACAGAGTCAGTCAGTCAGTTAGTCTAGTTGTAGAAAGATCAATTATAGCTATCAATTTTGTTTAGTCTGTTCATATCGTTAAATAAATAATTGTTATTAAACCATACCATACACTCTCATCAATACTCATTAATAATTTCACTAATCAATATAGGGCAATGGAGATTACCGAGTTTTATTGAACTAATGAACCGGTCAATTTTGAACAACCATTAAAAACTATAGTAGAATGAAACAGCTATTCAGCGTTTCCAGTTTTTCCCTAGTTGTCTAACATAGATCACAGTTCGTGATTCCGATAAAATCTCGTTTTTACTATTGCACCAAAGTAATTTATTATGAACAAGTGGAAAAACCGACCCAGTAGAAAATTATTATCTAGTATAAATAATGAAGAAAGAAACCAAAGAACTAAGAAGCTTACTTGACTTCGAACAAAAATTCACCGCCTTCTTTTGTACGTAAACGGAATACATTGGATTTTTTCACATAATCTGTCGCTCTACATGCATAAGCATGGGCTAGACGAATAATTGTTTCAGGTGGTGGAATTGGCGGTGGAACAAATGACGGTGGTGTAGTAGTTGTAGTATTCATTGGAATTTGTTGAATTGATGACAGTTGTTGATGTTGTGTTGTAATGTAAGAAGTAGGCAATATTGAATTAAATGTAGAAAAAGACGATGTCATAGTGTTAGTAGAATTGTTTGGTGTTACAATTGAGCTTTGTGGAACTGTTGTTAATGGAGTTTGTAATGCATTTGTTGTAGCTAAATCATCATTCATATTCATATGTTCTTTTGATGAATTCTCTACAGTTTCAACAGTATATTCGGAAGTGTTAAACGATTGTTGACTTTCTATGGAAGTGGTTAATTGTTTTGATGTAGGTGAATCATCAAGATTATCATCATCATCATTACCGACAGACAAAACACTGAGTCCATTTTCGTTCATGTTTCCAATTCTGGAGAATAATTAATAATAATAATAAGTTAATAGTCCAATATTTGTCGTTCAAATACTACACTTTATCTGTATTTTCCTGTTATCAATTTAAAGGACCGTAATTAATCATGGTATATTGTGTTATGTATATCTTAAGTGGATTGTTATTATTTTACTATTTAGTCAAAAGTTGAAAAAAGAATGCTGGATTGTGGTTAGCAGTGGAATCCAGGACGTACGTGTGTATTTCATCCTATTTGGAAATTATCAACTAGATGTGTCTATATGAAAATATTGATAATATTCAAACTGAGATTAAAACTCGGTAACCTATAAAATCTTTTAAGTAACTGTTATAAACCAGAATGCACTAAATAGTTGTTTTGTAAATATTATATATTTGAAGTGATAGGCATTTGGTTGGAGTTTCGCTGTGAACATTAACACTAGGTAACCAGCCTCAAACACAATGAAACATGTGTCCATAATTCAACATTTATGGTGTTTATGTAAATCCTTCCAATGGTTTATTAATGTATTCTGTTTAGAATATTAAAAACATTGGAAATCAGAAGAGCTCGACCTATCACATCTTACTTCAGTTCTGAACTGAAGAAAAACTTAGCTCTCATGTATTTGAGTATGATGTATTTCATACACATATTTTGAATTTAAATACAAATGTAATTACAATAATAAAATACATCTATTGAATACACAACAAGGTGAATAATGCATTAGTTTAGGTGGAGTTTTGTTCTCTGAGCTGAATGGTTTGGTCGTGGATCTTTTATTGTTCTTCTGAACAACATCATCACCACAAACTTCAAGTAGAAGTGATATGTTCGAATTTCTCCCCATATGACTCAGAGCTTGTCCTGTAGACCTCAATCTTGATTAGTTATTGTTGACCTCTAGCTGAACTACAAATCTTCTTCACCATCTCAAAATGCATTAATTCAACAGTCGACTGGATAACAATGAACCAATATAGTACCGATACATTCAGTAGCCAAATCATGAACTAAATAAACAGTTCATCTTAGAGAGTTGACTAATATTCAACATTAACTGTGACTAGTACAATGTTTAATATTTTCACGAACACATTAATCTTTAATGAAATAAACAAGATTAGTGGGAAAAATCAACATATAACTTGAAATATTTCATTAATAACACAACAAGTGATCATCTACATCCATACACACATGCGTACATGCACATATATATATGTATATGAAAACATGCATACATACATATGGTTAAATGCTTACTCAGATTGATTTTCAACAGTATCAGTTACTACACACGAATGGTCCTTCATACATGATGATGATGAGAGTTCAACAGTAGAATTATTCTTACCGTCAGAATGGCAATTAGCATTAATACCAACACCTTCATCGTCCCCATGACTCTCTCCCTCCTCCTCCTCTACCTCATCCACTTCTTCCTCCTCATCATCAGGAGATTGGTGTTTACGTAGAAGATACTGTTGATGCTGCTGTTGAAGATGTTGGTACTGCTGCTGTTGTTGTTGAAGTAACAGAAAATGTTGTTGTCTTTGTTGTTGAATAAAAAGTTGTTGTAGATAATTTTGTTGTTGGTATTGGTGTTGTTGTTGTTGCTGATAGTAAAGATTGTGTAATTCTTCAGCATGTGTTGCATTATTTGCAATATTTACATTTTTATATAAATATAAGACAAGATCACGTAGTCTTGCATAATACAATTTCCAACTACGACGTCCAACAGGAGCTTGAATAAGATGATGGTTAGAGATATAAAGGAGAATAGTGGGTGGAAAGCGTAAATATATTAGTAGATAGGCATTATACACAAACTGTAACTAAGAAAATGGTATTATTGTTTCCGTTTTTTTCCAAAAAAAAAAACTAGGCGAATATTAATCCACCTCAAAATACTCCTTCCTTCATTGGGGCTACTATACTTCTCTCTGTTCTAAAATATTCATAGAACTTTAAGAAAGTTAGGATCTTCAGTTGTATAGTTGTTTCTTATGATTTTGATCAGAATAGGGATTGTGGACATTGCAGTAGTCGATGTAAGCCAGATCACCATTGAGAGACTGAAAGCGGTGGACGGCTGTTTCGTCCTAGTATGGGACTTCTCAGCAGTGCACATCCATGACCCCGTATGTGGGACTCGAACTAAGGACCTTACGTCTCGTGCGTGAACGCCTAACCTCTAGACCACTGAGCCGGCATCCAACGGTGTTAATGTCTAACTTCTATGGATCCATGATCTTGCGCAACCATTCATTCATTGTCTGAGGTGGATACCTGTCTCTAGCCGATACGGATTGGACTCAACTAGTCATGGCTTCTCACATGAACTTCAAGGAATTCATCTTGAAGCCAGTCACTAGTGAGCACATGATGATTATGATAATCATAGCCGCCAAATGCCCTAGTAAGGCCGAGAGTGGGAAGAGTATGCTCTTCCCCTCCAAATGCTCTCACATGGCCACATGCATACAACCACTTCCAGGGAAGTCTTAATCACTACCTTTTCGTGGCGGGGATGTTTTTTACGAAACTGAGAGGACGGAAAGCGAATGTCCAGCTTTTTACCCGGGTTGGTGGACCTTTAGTATCCACCTAGGGGAGTTCAGAAACCCTGATTCCAAACCGACGGTGCACACGGGTTCCAGGGTCCTGAAGGAACAAATGGTGTATGAACCAATCGTTGGTCACCGGCTACCATGGGACTGCATCTCCTGGCGTTGCTCCACTATCTTGTGGATCAGACCTTTAGGTCAAAGGCTCCGGTTTGGCCCTCTAAGAAAACCACCTGCTTCGGTTTGGATGTGCGGGGAGTATCCCAACCCTCACGCAAATCGAATGATTTATGTGGCCCATGTCTATTTGGTGCCTCCTTGTACCAATGTTTATATATTTAAATAAATAAAAAGTAAATAAATGATCGTAACGAGGGTTTGTAGAGGTTTTAATGATTTCAATAGTTGAATTCATGAGCGATTTTCTCAAATTCTCAAGTGTATGAGCATAAAACACAGTTTATCTGCAGCTATCGCGAAGACAGTAAATTTTCACAGTTCTAGTGGGTAATCACAATTAGTAGAGCTTAACAACTTCTAATCTGATGCAGTTACCTAGTGAATGGATTGAAAGGTGGCTGGACAATATGATTAATTGATAAAAGTTAGATAAATAAATTGTTGGATACTTACAGTGTAGCTCGAAACCAAGTACACAGGTCTATAACTCATGAATGAGTATCATTCTTCAAGTTAAAAACTCATTCATATTCTTAACAAATACTCTGTATGATTTTATAATATTAGTCGTCTAGAACAATTCTTATACTTATAAACAATTTATTAATCTTCTTCGTATATCTATCTAGAAGTTTTCTAGAAGTATAGACAATATGACCTAGTTAACTGAAATATCTATGGTATACAACTACCTCACATGTTACCGGTGTGCTAGTAATCCACAGAAGCATCACCGTCATCACCTGATTTAAATTCACTTGAGAACAAATGGAATGATTCGTTTTTGGTAGAGGTAGTGGTAGCAATAGTTATGCTTTTTCTAGATTATTTACCATGAAGTAAGGACATAATCAAATTGCATCACGAGGCTTGCCCTAACCAGGAATCGTCAAGGTAAAATGAAAAGAGGAAGTCCAAAGTATATAATTCATCGGGAATTGGGGGTAGACATCAAAAGAATGTATAGAAATTGAAACAAATTGTCCTGGACCGAGTTAGAAGGAGAATCCTAGTGAGTGGCATATACTCCTCCACGAGCTGTAACAGGTGTATGCAAGTAGTAATTAAGTAAGAACATTAAAGGATAGAAATAGAGGTCACTGTAAAAGTAGTGTGTTACGGATAAAAATGCATAATATTTTCAGTAATTTTCAATTTATTAAGATAATCTCTATAACACATACTTCATTGAGTAATATCGCGTATAAACTAGTTACCATTAAGTAAATACCTTTGACAATAGACACTTATAACCTTGTGACTTTTTGAGCTAATAACATTAAAATACTTTGTCTTCTGCGTTGGATCATATCTGTCTACGATTTAAATGTTGACTATTTTTTTTTTAAAAAAACTATGACATATACTTCACAATCACGCTTGCCCCGAAAAGCAAAATCATGACAGAATATCGAAACACGAAAAAACACTTATTCACATAATAATGATGATATCAAGGGACAATGAGAGAGAGAGGGGGAAAAGTGAAACTATCATACTTTTCTTTTTATATGACTCCATGACCCATTTACGAGCTAATAAACCCCGCATATATTCTTTGGCGTTAATTTCTGCCGTTAACTGAAAGTAAATTGAACAACAAAAGAAAAAAAAGGAAGTTAGAACAACTCAATGTGTGTCAGTGGGTGGTTTTATTGAAACCCTTCATTTTTGGTTACAATTGAAACAGATAAATAAGCATAACGAACTAACTAACTGATTAAATACTATGGGAACTGTTATTTCACCACTGAGTTTAGTTTTCATCAAATGAAATCAACAACAAAACACTACTTATAATAGTAGTATTAGGTTAGCAAAGTGTTCAGAGTTTTTCTATTCATTATTTAATGGTGAAAATTTTAATTACTGAAATATCAGCAGGTACAATGATATGTTGTGTACAACCATACAACAAAATTAGTAATGCATTACACATAAGAAAACTTAAGACAATTTATTTATTTATTCGGTGTACAGTAGGTAGATTCAAGCAATGTAGCATATCTCTCTGTGTGTGTGTGTGTGTGGGTGGGTAATCAATTGTATAAAAACAATTCGATCGCATACTATAATAGTATGAATAAAAACAGCTGTTCATTATTCCCGTGATTTAAATGGTTGTCTATCAGAAAATGCAATATTTCCCAAAATATCGACCCGAAGTCGGGGAAAATGGACTTTTTTTCTTTAAAGAAAAATCGCCGTATATATATATAGCATATTAGAGGAGTAATAAATCAGTAGATATCCGAGTAATATAATTAAACTTCATGTAAGAATAATGATCTACAAATAGGTACACAATAAAACGTTAAAAATCAGAATAATTTTAACAAGGGAACCATAGAACGAGTTATTTAAAAAGTACACAAACCACAGGAGATTTCAAGTTGTACATGAACAGACAACTTAAACAACAAGTAGAGAAAGTGTTTAGATGACTAGGTAGTTTTATAATATACATCACAAACTGACCTCAATTAGGCGAACTTTAAAAAATCAAGAAGTAATGGACAGCAGCTTCATCCTAGTATCAGACTGCTCAGAAGTGCGCAATCGTGATCGCAATTTGGATCAAATTGGTTTCATCGACAGCACCTAGCCTTCATACCACTGAATCCGCATCCAGTGATTCACAGGTGTGAATGTCCAAAATTCAATTAATTCTTAGGAAGTTTCATACTAGGATGAAACAGTTGTCTAGTGTATCCTGGTTTCCAATGGTTGTTAAAGCAAATTCAGTTCGTAATGTGGACTATACGATTCGAGAATTTCTATGAATCCCTAACATTAATTAGGTAAGTGTCTTTAAAGCAAACAATAAGAGAATCAACTATAAGATTACAATAATGGAGACTTACATCTAGATAAGGACTTATCCCAGAAGATTCATTCAATTTACGATTTGCTTGAGTTAACTGTAATGCCTGTTGTTGAAGCTGTTCAGACGATGATTGTGTATAAAGATTTGGCAACACAGAGGCATTTAACTGGTTTGAATTCATAAATGATACAACACCGGAATTCGACTGATCATCATACAATGGCGCAGTGAAATTATTCGGGTTCCAATAGAAAGGTGGTGACATTCCAGTGTGGGGTGATGAATACGATAGTTGAGGAGTGGTCAATGGAGATATCGCTGACGATAAGGAATTAGATGTGATAGTGGCATTATCATTTAGTTGAGATGTTGTTACATGTGGGAAAATCATCGGAGGATAAGCAGTATTTTGCAATGGACTAAACATAAAATGTGTTTGAGGAAGATTTGGTGCATAAAAATTGGCTGTTGTAAGAAATCCACCTACTGGAGCACCTACCACTGGTGGACCAAGAGCATTTGGTGGTGCAGGATAATATAAATTAACAAAACCCATCATATTTGCATCAGAACTGAAGAGTGAAAAAAGAAAAGAAAATGTAAGGTTAGGTTACGGTAACTAATTTATTTCAAGAACGAAACTTTTCATATACAACGTAATGTACAGTAGACGAATCAGAAAACACAAAGTCACTGACTCTCAATCAGTTAGTCAGTTTTGAGTGTTGCTGTTCGAAGTATGAAGGCAATTGTCACTTCTCGGTTGGTCACTAAATGGAAGGATACTTCTTCTTGAGGTGCCTGAAAAGATATAGGGTTAGTAGTGGTGTTGGCGATATGGGAGTGTGACCACAGAGACCAAATGACAACAGCTTGAGGCTAGTCACACACGACATTTTCATGGATAGTCCTTCACGTGCTATCTCTATACTTTTAAGACATTAACGTTAGCGATGGAAATTCGTGAGAGCAAGGTGAGGTGTGATTATCTTTACGGCCAAACCTTTGTAACTCATTCTTCTGTTACAAGAAGATAGGATTGCCGTACATGCTACGTGTCCGAAGGAAACATTTTACTTTTAGTACATCCGTGTGCATTTTCTCAAGTAAGACTATGCCTGTGTACCTTGAGTTCACTGTTTTTATATTTACTAATCTACGTAACATAATGCGACCTGTATGGACGTTTGTTCCATCAAGTAAGGCTCAGATGGGCCACTGTGGTTTACAAGCCCGACCATTAAACCAAGATACCAATGCCGGCTACACTTCGGAGATCACTTTTAATTCAGTACTTGGACTACTTCACAAAATATAAATATGCACTAACTTCGGTAAGACCACGAGACATATTTAGACATCAGTATCATAACAAAGTAAGATTGATGTAATTGTGAAAACGAAACTGGACTATAGATTTACAAAAAAGGCAAACAGTTTGACTTACTGAGGCCAGCGTATTGGTTCCTGTTTAATAGCATTGTATAACACTTTCAGATCTTCTTTAGAAAAATTATCTCCACAATTCATTTGAGTTAGATTATTAACAAAATCTTGACAAGACATTTTCTTTGTTATACCCTAATAGACCGATGAGAATAAGAAAGAAGTGAAAAGGTTGGGAGAAAAGAGGGGAAGACAATGGAACATCATAATATTTAGTCCTAGGTGAATTAAAAAGACGGAAAGTAACTAATATTCTGTATATATATATATATATATATGTCTGTTTTAGTATTACAAATAATAAACACTCGTCGAGAGACCTGAAGGTCCTAAGTTCGATACTCAGCGGAAGAGAAGTTCCCATAAGAGGATGAAACAAATGTTCAGTGTTCTCTGGCCTTCAGTGTTTGTCCAAGTGAAATTCACTCTTGATCTCAATAACGATCGGAAATCTTCCTATACTAATAATATATGATAATTATCCTGGAGAAAAGTCCCTGTTAAAAGACAAAATGATAGACTAAACAACATCGTAGTTAGTGTTCACTTTCAACAAATATGTACGAGAACACACTTTTCAGCTTGGTTCTACAAGAGTAAGAAGAAAGCGATTAGGAATGTGATGTTTGGACGTTTATAATACTAGGATCACTCCAGTGAATCTGTGACATATGGTGATCGTTAAAACTGTTTATGGAATCTGTTCAAATATAGATAGTGTAATAAGAAGACAAAGATTATCAGAACTATGTGATGTGTTAGCGCAATACATTTAGAACAATCAGATCACAAATAAACTTGTTAAGAACATTTATATATAAAAATAAAAGGTCAATTATGTGTGTGATCAGATTGTTTGAAATGCAATGAGCAAATATATTACACAATTCTAATAATCCACGTCTTCGTATTACACTATCTAAATTTATTAAAGGGACTAATTGCTTCAATTTTTTTAAAAGAAGACTCTGTTCAAATGTACTGGAAAGTTTTTATTTTCAACAACTTGGATTAACAGACCTTATGAATGTATATAATATATGTATGATGGCTTTATTCGATAGTGTATGTTTGGTGCACTGTACAATTCTCAGCACATACACGAATGTACAACTTGATAGTGAATTCATTGAGAATCAATACCGTAAAATAACCTAGATTACATACAACTTCATATCGAATATTAATTAGAGAGGGAAGATGTACTAAACCAGTGAACAAACAAAATGGAAACCGATTTAACAAACAATACCAAAAACGATTCATCGTTATGTTTAATCATTTAGAAAAATAATCTGACTTCTCAAGTTAATAATAATAATAATGACCGATCATTCTATTCAAAAGTAAAACTTATCGGATAAGATAGATGTAAATGATTCGTAAAGTTGTAAAAACGTATGAGAAGTTTAGATTGCCCTTAAATGACTAGTTGAAAAGATTGATGTAAGGGGACAAAATCTATTGAATATTAAACGGTGTTTCGAAATAATTTATTGCTATTTGTAATGAAATATTTGCTCGATTTAGAAAAGTCTTAAAATTAGCTTAATGCAAACGATAAAATAATAATAAATAATAAATGTATAGTTCGTTCATTCTATCTATTCCGTATAGTGTTGTCAGTGAGTACAGTTGCATAGTCGAAAAAAGCTAAGATGAGATGGATAGTCCGTTAAAAGTAACGTAGAATATGTTGGACATATCATCAATCAAAGTTACATTACATGAGCATAGAATTAGAATTAGTAACAGTATTAGTGGAAAGCATTAGGTCGAGACAATATGATTTGAGGATAAAAAACGAATTTTCAGAATCGACAATAAAAAGTTTTTTATGGTGGTCTAGCTTCAGTTGACTCATGATCTCAACTATTGAAATAAAAGATCGCTTTGAAACTCAACATCTAAGGTGGGACGAACTGTGAATGCATCTGGGTTATTGAGACTGATTCTGCGCTATATCACCCGTGTCTAACGATAATGGAGCGAAATTCCACCAAATATTTCGAACCTACTAACACAATACACTCCAACTGTTAGTGACTCGAAGGACTGATATCAATTTTTGGACTATCAGTCCCTAGACGTCTTTTAGTTTACTTCTACAAAAGCAAACATAGTCCATTGCGGCAGGTGGTGGTTGGAAATATTTTTTACATATCCTAAGCACCTTAATTAGTGAAGATTTGTAGTATTATCTATCGTTTTTACCTAACCTTGGTGTAAACTTAGAATTGCTCGTTCAGTGGTCCCAATGTAATGTTTAGAAGACCCACTAACTTGCTTTTTAGCTTTCAAAGCTTGTTTAAATAAACTCAGTCCATAATGGAGGCTACAATAATCAATAGTCTCCACTACAAATCCCTCGTGCTAATTATGTATGATGTGATCCAACCAATTATTTTTCTGATAATAATATGAAGAGTAGTACTAGTAATGAAAATAGGGAACTTTTTGTAAAGTTAATCATTAATCACTATGGAAGAAGAAAAGAAAAGTAATTGTGAAAGAGTGGCTAAAAGCTTTGGACTAGATAATAAGAGGGAGTTGAGAATTAAAAAGAATACAGAGAGAAAGAGACATGTAGAGCGAGAGAGAAGTAAAAAATTAATTGTTTATTTCCACACTGGAATCAAACATTTTCTGATGGTCATTTATTATTAATTCGATACATTTTACAGTAGACAAAAAAAACAGGGTAAATAATTAAGGATCTTTGTTACATCCTAATTTAACAAATGTATATCATAGTTTAGTATGACAAAATTCAAGATATTCATAAATTTTAGTGTTAACGATTGTATGGTAGATGAGGCTTTTTTGTTAAAATAATCGCTGGAATGTAATAATAATAATAGTTATTACTGGATAGGAAGTAATTTATTCATAAACGAATAACTAAAATGCGGGTTCGTGAGCTCGGATTTGGGTTATATGGTACGATTCACATTAGTTGGCATAGAATAAAGTCAATGAGGTGAGCTGGAAACTACCTAGTTATGACGGATGGAAATCACTATATTTAGTTATGTCTAACAAATACAGAATGTGTATGTCTCAGTTGTCCAGGAAATTTCAGCAGGATATACGTGTATTTTAGTATATTATTGATGTTCTTAATAAGATCGTAAAGGACCCATTATCTTAAACATCAGAAAACGAATAAGAGTTGGTTTGAGTCATATTAGCAGACGCAGACTACCTGATTGAGATAAGCGTGTTAAGCGTGATTAGTGGTTAGAAAAGTTGAATGATATAGGCCCAAAATCGGTCACAATGGAGCAGATGTATACGTTTTCGAACAACATTTTTAAGTCTAGTCTTTCTAATTATTATTGTTAATACATGATTTCGATCACTTTTGTCATTGACGTTATTAATGTGATGGTAATATGATATGGTAACTTAGCAAACCAAATATGCGTCCAGCTCTAGCTTGATTATGATTATGATAAATGTAAGGGTGATATATATTGTAGAGACTATTACTGAGTCATAGAGACAAATATCCTATGAGGTTTTTATGAACAAGGAATAATGATCAATAGTGAACGAGTTTTAGGTTTTTATTATGAGTGAGCAGAATCCCGACAGATTTGATATAACGTGCCAGAGTAATAAATAATAATGAGACCAGGTCGAATGCACTGTCAACAATGACAAGACCACTAGCTGGGAAAATAGTTCATTCAATAGAGCAAGATTCACATGTACAAATTATTGACAGGAGATTGACATAATTAGAAGTCATAACTAGCTGAATGATATCAACTAGCCATTAAAATAAGAGCTGACTTTTAGACTTCGTTAATATCGCTCACTAACAGTGCACAGGCTTTATGAACTTGGCTTTGGGTTACAGTGCTTGAGTGAGAATTAGTGGTACTGTACATATATATGTATGTTAGCTCTACTGAAGTTACATGCATAGGTGACCACTTATTAAAGAGTATTACTTGTCACGTTAGGTCGTACATCTAAAGACCATATAGTCAAGGAAAATGTAAAACTATAAAGTCATCAATAAACAAAGATGGATAATGGCTAGTAACTGAACCCAGGATGAGCATTTCATCCTATTTTGAACTCTTCAGTTGGATGTACATGCATCCCAGAGTTAATTTTTACTCCAGGAATCAAACCGAGTACCGTTCGCTTCAAACGCCATTGTGTTATCCACTTATCCATTGATTCTAGATAGCCACTAGTTTGTGCAATGGGTTGAATCTTAAATCTTTATTCATTTTATGATTATTACTAATAGTTTGTCAACTTCAATCAAATTTCTATTCTAACTTGAAATAATCATGATTTACCTCCTTGAACATAATCACATCACGCAATGATATTACAGTTTCCTAGTGTATTTTATACTTGTGATATTTTTCTATTCGATTTGATGATTCACTACTGATTAATTGATTTTATTCATTAGTTAACTAACTAACTAAAGTCTATGCATTTCATTCCAACTTAAAACTCATATATCCTAACAAAAAAGCAACCTTATCACTACATTAATTATATATACGTGTGTAAAAGATTGTATAAATTTTGAGGAGAAGAAGAAGAAAAACACAAGACGTCACAAAATGGATTCCTATTCGATTTGATAAATAACTCAAGTGTCTGAAATCAACTACAGAGAGAATTATAGTTTACATATATATAACAAAAAGTGGACCAAAATAATTTATCTGAAGTTGGAATTCTGAAGTTTTACAAATTGGCAAGTATACCTAAATTTCATCTCTTTACAGTTGGTATTTGACCAATATGAAAAAATGTTTTATGTTTAATGAAATTGCTTGTAAGTAGTATGTAGTAAAAAGAAACAACAAATAATCACTTTAATCAAAAACGATATTTTCGATTACCATAGAGAATTCGAATTACAAAATATGTAATATTGAAATAAAATTCCCAGCTTTCAAGCATTTAACTTATGAATATTAGAAAGAAAATATATAAACAATCAATTAAATTCATACGAAAATATTTACAAAAGGTCATACTTTTTGTCGGATAATATATTTGATGCACGAATTTCATGTTAATTGACTATCGTCTCTCGTTCATGATAGAGGACGAGGAAAATATACAAACAACTGTGGTAGTATTTCTTAACTTTCTCAGTAATTACATCCTTGAAAAGTCGTAAACAAGGCGTAAAAGTACAGGCCATTATTAAGTATGATTAGTGAATCAGAACATTACTAAACTAGGGAAATTTATAATCATAAATGGATGTTTGAGAAAAATATGGCCAAGAATTTTCAGCAGATCGGTACTTTCAAGGTCTATACTGGAAAAACTACTGTGACATACGTCATGTAATGATTAAAGAACAATAATTAACTTAATTATCAGCTAGTTGGTTATGAGAATTAATGATACCAACCGAAGTAGGTGGAGGGGTTCGAACCTGGGACTAAGCGGCTGAAGGTCGAATACCCTAAACATTAAGGCATCGCTCCACCATTTCTATATTATGTAGAGACAATAAGAAAAAAAAATAACACCATGAATACACTGTAGCGTTCAGGTTTGAAGCATGCTTCTATTGTGTTTGAGGACTAGTAATTCTAGTCAGCGGCTGCTCAAAGATATAGTATGTGGTTCGAGTGCTTTCAGCCACTAAGTCCAATAGACGACTTCATTTTGGATAAAGTATTTATTTCAGTTCTTTATCAAATTCTCATTTGATCATGCAAATATATCAGTAAATGGTAGAACACACTGAGTCAAAGATAAAAAATCACAAAAATAAAGGCACTGCTAGGCATATGAAACCAACAACATGAGTTATGGATATCCCGATGGAAAAAGGAGCAAAATTCATTTTGCGTAAACATTATATATATATCATACTGAGCCAATCACGTTTATACCGAAACTCTACTCACAGGTTAATTAAACAATGGAAGTTAGTTCATACGAGTCATTTAATCAGATAATTAACCAATGATGGGAGATATATGTCAACCATACAAAACAAAACCACTCATTACGCAATCAAAGCACAACTCGACACAAATTATATATTATCGACTAAGTGAAATCAATGAATAAACCTAGGACCATAAAACCAAGCTTATAATAATGTCTTTAACAATAATTATCAGATAAAACATCACTTACTTGACTATGTAGATCCGTGTTGAGTAACATAAGTGCACAGACTAAAGTATGACAAGTATCTATTGTGAAGTAATAATAAAAAGACATAAGGATTAAATAATAGAGAATTGTGTAAAATTAATTATCATTCAAAAAAGACCTATATATAGACATATATGTACTTAAAAATTCGACAAAAACCCCTAATACAATGATAAGATAGAATTTTCTTCGAAAAGAAGCTCAGTTGAATAATTGAAAAAACGTACGTTCATGCATATAGTGTACAAATTTGAGTAGATAGTATCCCGTTGTTTGATTTAACTAATTAGAAACCTGTTGTATGAAAGTTTTGTGTCCAGCCAAATAATATTTGTGATCACCTGTATAATATATGTAAATCGATATTGAAAACAAGAACAAGTAAAATTTAAGCCGTAGAGTGAAGAACAATCTGATAGACAGGATCAATTTTTATACAGTAAAATCCAGAACAGTTGGTTAATTTATCTATATTATGATGGTGAATATGAAGGTCAAGTCGATGCATGTGAAAAATAGACGCTGGCACCAGACATACAGGCGAAAATTCTGTTTAATTGATTATTAATGTATTCAATAGTTGAGATCATGAGTCAATAGAAACTAGACCACTTTTGAAAACTTGGAAGCACTGGAAGGCTGATTTGTCCTATGGTGGGACTCCTCAGCAGTGCGCATCCACGACCCCAACTCACAGGATTCGAACCTAGGACATAGTGGTCTCGCGCGCGAGCACCTAGCCACTAGACCACTGAGGTGGCCGGCATCCAATGGTGTTAATGTCTAACTTCAACTAATCCACGGCCGTCCATTGCTTCCAGGTTTTCCAAAGTGGTCTAGCTTCGATTGACGCATGATCTCAAATATTGAAATTACTAAAAATCTCCACAAACCCCTTCTCATATTAATGTATTCGTTAGACGGCGTACATTTAGCAGAAAAATCTTAAAATTAATGGTGAGATTTAAGGTGTGATAAACAAAATTAAAAACCATTATTTAATAAAATTATGATCTTTTGAAGAACACGTTAATGGCTGTTGTGTTTATTTTTTAAATGTATATCATGATAAACTTTAAAAATTGATATTATTAACTACTGTCACCTGTTATGGCCAATTATCTACTATGTTTATTCAGAACTTTATCAATTTATGCAAGCAAATTATAGTACCGCTAACTCAACGGATGAAGGGAAATAACCAACTGACCCCATAAGAACAAAAATCTTTGAAGGAACTCAGAACTAGAAAGGATATTGTCATAGTTTCAGCGGACAAAGGACACACCACAGTGATTATGGACAAAGAAGAATACAAAATATATAAGCAAACAATATTGTTTTCGATTAGATCCCTCATCAGGCTTCACTTCTAATATACATTAATATTTATATGCATATACGAAATTATTAAACTAATCAAGGTTGTTTATAAGTCAATGAGTAACAATGAAAACGATTACATAATAAGTGAAACGTGAAAAGTACAACTTAATGGTGTGACAACAGGTGCATTAGTTTTGATAAGCAATAATAAAGGTTCAAATCAATGTTACATAATCGGAAATAGGTCAATGATTAGAAAAATATAGACAGTGAAATAATATTTATAAAACTCTAAGATGACGTAATAAGAAGTGTTCAGATAATTGAACCGTGAAACGTATATTTGAGAGAAAACAAAATAAAATGGTAGGAGGGGGTGAAGAAAAATAATAAACAAAGAGAAAGTTTGAAAAATTAATAAATAAATTCATTTATTAAGGCCAAGGGAGAGATAAAGGAGTTACAAATTCCTTCTGAGCACAAAGACTTAGTTTGTTGGCTCGAATTCCTATAGCTTCTGCTATGTGTAAGAGACGAGATCGAACACCATAAGGAAAACTAGTAGGAATACAATAAATAACTTTAAATGACTTGTTTCTGTTCATTACATGACCGCTATCGATCAAGTGTGATAGAACCGAGCTGTGTATTGTTTTGACGGAACCTTTTCCTAACCACGAAGGGAGGTGTTCACTAACTCTTTGGTTCAGTTGCCTGGTAGTGCCCCCAATATAGCTTTCTCTACAGGAGCAGCTGAATTCGTAAATGTACATAGAAGTGGCATAACCAGGTAACTTATCCTTCAGTTGGAAAATCACCATAGATCGGGTCGAATACGATAGACAGGGGTTGGCGGCATTAAACGTTCTCTTTACTGCTCTAGTCAGTCTATCACGTAATACATCACCATTGAATTGCAGCTTCAAGAAAAGAGGTTTTTTATTAGCCGTTAGTGTCACTATTTTCTTGCTTGCTACACGCAAATGTTTCTTCAGGAAACCCTGTGGATATCCCAATTCAATCAACATATTATGAATATGCTTTAATTCCATATCAATCGCGTCAACTGAGCATATCTTAATAGCTCTATTTGCCAGACATTTGACTAAGTTTCTCTTATAATGAAGAGGCACAAAGCTTAAAAAATGTGTTTATTGGCTTGAAGAATGCCGAATCTCAACGATTTTAAACAAGCCAGTAAAAGCAGGAGAAATAACAAAACAAGACCAATGGAGAATGAAATCCAATGGACCAGTAATCCCTCAATTCTACGGCAGACCGAAAATACACAAACCAAACATCCCACTACGTCCAATTGTAGCACTCCCCGGAACGCAAACATACAATTTGTCAAAAGAAATTTCACGAATATTGAAACATTTGGTGGATTCATCCAACCACACGACCAAATCATCCAGCTCAGAGAACAAAACTCCATCAATAAGATTAGTTCGTGCGTTAAAATTCATGGAAATAGATATCAGAATGTTGCATTAAACTAGACATTTCGCCAATTATAAATGTTAGACGAAATGAATCGAGAGTAAAAAAAATAGACAGAGGGGGGGGGAGAGAGACAAAGCAAGTAGATGATAGTGAATGTTATGAAACTGTCTGGAAATAATTATCTCTTGTTTTTATTCACAAAAATAGCTTGTAATAAATCATAGGTGGATTTACGTGTTATTGTCACTGATATTGACTGGTTTGTTCGCTGTTATCTTTCAAATCAAATGCTCATTGAAGCAGCAACATTAGTAAAGACGAAGGAAAAAAGTACTCAATAATCTACGATCATGATTCCATTAAAAGTTAAAGGATTAAATTAATACGCGATTGTGTAAACAACTTTAATTTGTAAATGTCTGGTAATTTTAAACAAAAAGCAAAGCCATAATTCAATATCATTCAAATTTAAAATGATAAAAAGAAATAAGTGTTGAGTCAATTCTTTGGAAGAACTGAGAAGTGTGTTTGCACAAACTAAACTATAAGCGTAAAAAGGAAAAAAAACTCTGTGAGTTGAATTGATATGTATAGAACAAATAAGTGGCTTAAAAGTATATGCGTTCATTCATGCATTGATCAATAAATTGACTGCGTGATAATGATGAAACATGATGATTGAAAGTTGGATCCTTAAACCTACAAGTGATTATGAACCAACATTAGGTATCATGGTCATAGTGAGAGGCGGAAATTCTTGGTTCAATTCAATGTGAGATTATCATTTGATACACTAGGAACTAGGATGAAACAGACATTTAATGTTCTGTATCTTTTATCAGCTCAACAATAGACATTATTGTGAAATTGAAAATGTGTCTTAGGGTATACACAATCATTGTAGACTTCACTTGTAGATCATAATGGACATTTAACAATAGATTATAACGTTGAAGAAACAATCCACTGTGGTAAAATACATCAAATCTGTGTCAGTTGTCAGTTCAATGCAATTAAGAATATATATACACATGATTTATAAGATATTTCGAAACATACTTGGTTTAAAACGTCATTTTTAAAAATTATTCCAGAATGGGAATTTTAATTACAATAACAATGTGATAATAAGACAATCAGAACAACAACACTTCGTTCAGATATGTAGAAGTGAACACAAAAAGCAACTATTGTAACCGGTGGTTGGAGACTCTGGGTGATATGGATCAAAAATCGATCACGATGGCGTAGGTGTATACACTCTTTGTTTTCCCTTAAACCATGAGACTAAAATTACTCTATACTTTTCTTTCTACGAACTAATTCTTTCTCCTTGTATCATATCCGTATATGCAATCTTTTTTTAACATTACTACCATTGAAGTAACTGCTTCTACAAATTTGGTGTTCATCTTGCTATGTTAATAAGATATGGCAACTTGAACCGATGTGTATATGCGCCTGCTCCTACGTTGTAGTTGACTGACTGACTGAAACCTGCCAATTAATTCACAATTAACTTACAACTGAATATGCACATAAACTATAATATCCATTAATTGAACTATAGACAATATCCAGATGAAGAGAAATCGGGAAAAAAAATAAATTAAAGATTAAAAAATATGGAATTATTCGACTGTATTACATATAGTTATGTAATTCTACTTTTATTCAATGATGAAATAGTTTGTTTTCAGTGAGTAGACGACAAAGAGAAATACAACTAAAGTAGGGAAAATCTAAGAAATAACATGTGTTATTTATCAAGAAAAAAATATTTTGTCTAAGTGATCACTAAAATGTAGAGTGGATCTCCAGAATTAGATTTCAATCATGTTAACCATAAAAAACAATGGATTTGTATTGGTTGTTTGAATTTTCTCAACAATGTTCAGGAATGAAATTGATCAATCTCTTTTCGGTATTTCTGCGGATTGACTCATTAATTTACAGGTAGTTTATAAGCAGAGATGGATAGTGGGAGGTATCCTCAGTTGACGAATTTCAAATAAAACGAAACGCGTGTCCTTAAATTCACTGCTAGCCACATCCACTTATAATAAAGAACAATGTCTGTTAAAGATATGACAGCGAAATCATAAAAAATAACTGATTTCAAGCGATATGATGCATTTAGTTTTGACTAAGTGACTTAATTTTTTAATGAGCAGATAAAGATTTATAAAAAAATACAGGTTTTAAGTAAGCATTAGACTGGCAGTAGATACTGACAAATTTCAAACTAACACGTCCAGACTAGTTTAAAATAGTGACGAGTTCTGAATGATGCTTGCATATGATCAAGGCTACTAAACGAAAACTAAGCAGTTTCACTCGGTCATTCATATACAACGTTGAACCTGGCACATATGTACATAGGTTCAAGTTGACTTACCACATTAGCAGAAAGAGATGAAATTATTACAAATCCAAGAGTAGCAATAACAATCTGTAGTAGTAAAAAAAGGATCTGAATCATTTAGCCAATTATAAGTCATCTTACCCGACACCACTAGGAGTAGGTTAGAAGCAAATTGAGGAGTGGCCAAACTTAGACATAGTATCAGTCTATGAAGACACTGACTGTTGGACGAAGTTATGTTAGTACTTGCAAATTATGTGACCAGGATTCGTGTAGTAACCGCGATCAGCGACTAGAGGCTTCGGACAAGACTCAGAATCGTTTGCAATGCTGAAGGTGCATTTATTCGTTAAATTCGATCAGATCCTAGGTTTCTAAATTGCTTGTATTTTTTTTTATCTAACTTACAGTTTCTCGAATTTTATCTTGGGTGCCTAATCTTTTCTATTACCATCAATACTGTTACTATCTCTACGAGTCTGGAATTTTCTTTGAAAATTTCATCTCACTGTGCTAATGGGGTGTAGTAACTTGAACTGATGTACATATGTGCTAGTTTCTGCGTTAGGTCTGACCAACGAACTAACTAAATAGACAAATAGTGGTACCCCTTTCTTGTTGCCTAGACGATAAGCAGATTGCAAGTGCAGACCGTTTACTACGATGCAAGTGGACCCTAAATACAGATCCTATGAATCTATGCGAAAGGGAGGTGTTAGAAGGAAACATATTGAATTAAACCATATTTTATACAGAATTATGTCGGAGCATGATAACTGACCCATTTTTAGTTGATCAATCAGAAGACTTTAGAATCTTCTAGTGTAAAAATTAGACGCAAAACATCACTTTTCCTATTGTATGAACTTAATTAATTTACCACTTTGTTTTGGAATATAATTATGATCTTTAACTTGGGTATCAGTCGAGTGAAGTAAATTGTTCAAGGAATACTGGGTCGAATAAATAAAGCTTCAAGTCATTGGTTACGGTAATCGAGCGGACTTCAACCACGTAGTCTGAACCAACCAACACAGTACACTTCGACTATCAATGACTTGATGGACTGACGCCATATTTCGAATTGCCCGTCCCTAAATCTTTGCCAGTCTATTTCTACAAAAGTAAGCACCATTCTTCGAAAAACACAGTGGTTGGACATACGTGTTACATGTTCCAACCACTTTAGTCGGTGATTGGTGGACACGGAGAACCCACCTAGGAGAGTTGGAAAACCCCGATTCCAAACCAATGGTGCACATGGGTTCTAGTATCCTGAGGGAACCAATGGTGTATGAACCAACCGTTGGTCATCAGCTACCATGGGACTGTATCTAACGATGCTCCACTGCCTTGTGGATCAGACCTTTAAGTAGAAGGCTCCGAGTGTGGCCCCCTAAGAAAACCACCTGCTTCGATTTGGGCACCCGGGTAGTATCACAGCCCTCACAAAAATCTCATTAGATTTGTGTGGTGCATATGTACCTGGTACCTCCTTGTACCAATATCTATGTATTAAATAAAAATATAAAAAAATTTGGTCGGTGAAGATTCTCTGTCTTGTCGAATAAATTTTCATTTTTTTTAGTACACTGAACTCAGCAATCTCACTAGGTTATTTATTGTGATGTATACAATGTTGCTAAATGTGCTGACCGATTATCATAGTAAAGCAATGTCATATTATTTTAATGAAACTATTATTAATACATTATCGCTATAATTATTAGTAGTAGTACTGGTAAGAACGTGATTCATAACTAAGCACGTGGCGATTCACATCAATACGCGTAAAAAAAATTAAAAAGTTGTTATGTTAATATTTCTGAGTACGTACAAACACACATAGTCAGTGAGAAGTACACATTTTATGTATTACGAACTATAAATATACATAAATATACTGAATAATTGTATAAACTACACAAAAACATCATCATTGTCGTCTATGTACTAGTGGCAAAAAGTAACTGTACATATTTATTTACTTATTCAGAAGACTATTATATGTGTATGGGCGTATCTGTGTATCAACAAACAAGTGCTCATTACAGCATCATCATCAATCAAGAGGTCTGAATAGACACACACACATACACAAAATAGACAATTAAACAAAATTCTATTTCATCAGTGATGATTATACCTTCTTTTTCATAATTTGTCCGAAAAATAATCATCTGCCATTGATGTCGATTATGAACCGGTGACAGGAACAAAACTCAGCAAATAAATAATCAATCCTACTCTATTGATAAGGTACTGATAATAATAATAATAATAATAATAATAATAATAATAATAATAATAATAATAATAATAATAGTAATAACCATTTATCTACCTATCAATCAATCAATCAGTGTGAATCACAAATAATGTGATGGATCTACGTGCCAGTAGTGTTTATATTATCACTATTATTATTAACCAGTCATACTTTGCCTAAATTGCATGGACAACTTGTGGAACAGGTTGAAACACACACACACATGCACGCATGCACATACATACAAATATGATAGATGATCAATATAAAGAGAAGGAAATGGAGAAAGAAAAAAAGAAATAAAGAGAATGAAATATCAAAGAAATCCGAAACAAAAAGAAAGTTCTATAAGAAAAGAGAGAAATAGAGGTGGTTTAATCTTGTGCAAAATAGATTAATTTGTTAGTGTATCTCTAACTGATAAATTTCGAAATGTTATACAATTAATACCAAAAAAATATTAATAGATATTCATTTAAGAGTGATAAAGTTAAACAAAATTTTAGACCACGCAAAACTGATTGATTTTGGAGTTGAATAGAAGGCTGTAAAATATACCGGTACAGTTAGTATCTGAGAAACTAGTTTGAATGCTTGTATGATATAATTAATATAATTTTAATAATATAACAGAATTATGAGTGATTATTGAAAGTAACGATTGTAGTGACGGTTATCATAAATATCCCCCCACATACAATGAAGCTATCAGTGAGCATTTTAATAAGACTAAGGATTCATACTATAATTGGCATTTATATGGAAATTCAAGATCCGACTATTGAACATCTAGTGAGAGGCTGTGAACAATCGAGTTCAACTATATCGGGTGTGCGACAGGTATCCCCTAAAAACAAAAGACAGCCGCGCAGTGTCGTAAATTGATTGAAGCTAGATATTAGCATCATTAAATTGTGGCTCAGTGAACTAGAGACTAAGTGTTCGCGTGAGACGGGAACGTCCTCGATTCACTTCGTTGTGGTAGGGACCATGAATATAAATTTTTGAAAAGTCCCGTATTAGGACGAGATAGCTATCCAATGTTATTTTTATTTCGTCATGATAATGTGGCATAGCAACTTTGGGTCAACACGCACCTGTGCTGCTGTTCTATGTTGATGTCTGTCTAACTATATGACTGACTGATCAAACTATTATACACTAATTATCAGATTTACAACAGTTCTACTGTATACCACGACAAACGTTGTCATAAACTGACTTTATAGTAATAATTTCAACAAAAAAATAGATATATGTTTAAAATAATCTCTAAATCTTAAAATTCTGAAAACCACTTACCTTCAGAAGAATAACTAGTTGGATTACACGCGTGAAAACGTCGTGAAAAATGTAACAATATACGTTCACGTTCTTGTGATTCACCAGTCAATGAAAAACTGTTCAAAAATGATCTTAACGCAACATCTAGACGTTGATTGGTGAAATCAAAGAAACTGGCAAATTCTTCACCGACAAGTTGACTAAAATCATTCCTACAGGTGAAAAAGTGGAAATAGGTTTGAAAGTAAAACGGGAAGTTATAACATGAAAGTTATACAATTTTTTATTAAGCTTAAGAAAAGAATTTGGCAGGTGGTGTGTTCTCTGAGCTCAGCTATTTTTTAAAAAAAACAACCGTAAATGAACTATTCCGAGTTGGCTTTGTGATTGGGATATTCAACTTCTAGCCACCAAGTCCCAGGTTTGAACCTGTTGGGGATGTTAGATTCCCGGAATTCGCTTAGTAAATGTGTTGTTTTTGTAATTTTATTCTGGAAATTTAAATTTCTTGTTTTCGTGCCAAAAGCGCTCATTTTTACCTTTATATCGCATTTCCCACTTGAGAGGACCTTAAATGTCATTGGTTCGTTGAATCTTTTAATATGTTATTTTGTAACGTTTCCTGCAACTTAGTGCCTGAAATTCAAACTTTTTAACCACTGAGCTACCGCTCCACTAGACTGAAAGTATGTACTATTTAGTGACACTAAACTAAGAAAAAGCAGCTATTTAGCTTGTTTTCTATGGTTTGCAATAATTCCCCAACTTATAATGGTATATTAATGTGAAAACACAATAATTCAAAAAGCCAATGGTGATATTTTAGTTTAATTTTGAGGGGTTGATAATGATGAATTAAGAGAAAAAGAATTAAGCCGTGATCAGCAGAGCTAATCTGTGTCAGGTTTGAGGTAGTTACTCATAGAAGGTAATGAAGGATGATCGCACAATATCATGGATTGGTTGAAGTTAGATATTAAGAACCGTTGGATGTCGTGCGCAATGGTTCGGTTCCCAGTTGTAAGGTCGTGGATGCGCATTGCTGAGGAGTCCCATACTAGGATGAAACGGATATACAGTGCTTCTATGTTTTCAATTGTGGTTTAATGTAGATGATTACAATGAAAAAAATTAAATTTTGTGGAACTTCGAGGGGTTTTTTAATATTTAAAGTCTGTAATTATAGTAATACAGTTTAGTTAGATGTATACGGTTTGATAACACTGAATTTATTAACAAGTGTATTTGGAAAATGTATGTTTATTACAAAAAGAAAAACAAGTGAGAACAAAATAATGTGCCGAAGTTTTATTACAAGCGCGCTTTTTTCAAAGAAAAATCATGAGGAAATTTCGGTGATAATAAAATAAATTACAAAACAACCAACATGTTTAACAAATGATCAAAGGTAATGTTTATTTTGTCATGGTACATTACATACGTAGAGAGGGATAATATACAGTATCATGTAGGCTAAATTTAAATAACATACAGCTTGAGAGAAAAAAAGTGTGTCAGTCTAAGGTGTCACAACAAGTCAGTGAAAGAGAAACTTAATAAGATGAGAATTAAGAGTTAGTCAGTCATAAGTATGTTTGCACTTGTTCAAGTTGTCAAATCACATTAGGACAGAGAGATTCAATTGATAAGACCAATTCCAGAGGACTAGAATAGGTAACAGAACCAATGATAGTGGATAGTACTAAGCATATATATATACCCTAGATAAAAGTTAGTTGTTACCCTAACACCAATTAATCAGCCATGTGCAACATAGAACCTGGCACACGTGTACGTCGGCGCAAGTCACCATACTACATTAGCACAGTGAGATATAATTATTTCAGGACGAATTCGAGAGTAGTAGGAGTACTTATAATATCAGTAGTAAAAGGCATTTCAAGACTCAGTTTCTATAGGAATAGAAAAAGTCCGTGTATCTGCGCTATTGTGAACGCTTCCGAGACATGTTACATAAAGTCTCCAACCAATGGTTAAGGTAATCACGTGAACCCCAATGGGGTAGTCTACATTTGCTTACATGGCTCAGTACAGTTGTCAGTGATATCACTAGTTGATACCGTGTCTTGGTTTAACCAGCCCTAGCTTTCTTGTAGTCTACTTTTACACGGGACAACATTCACCTCATAGGTAAGGGGTGACTGGGCAAAACATACGACCTAACCACAGTCAACAAGGATTCACTACCTCAGTTACCCAGTACAATTCAATATATATATATATATATATATATATATACTAACTAGTTCAGCACAGCGACGATGGCATAGCAGTTTTTAAACCTGTGATCTACTAACTAAAACCCGAGTATTAAAACCAATAAGTAACCAATCTACTCAGTGAACATTTACTCAATCGGATTAGTAACGATCAAGTTAAACGATAGGTATATCGTAAAAATTGTAAATATGCTGGTGATAGGATATCAACTTTCCGCAATTTTGGACATGTATATATTATTGAGTGTTAGAAAGTACCGCTTTTTTGGTTCAGTTTAGCGAAATAATTATAATATATGGTTGGATACCTGGGAGGAATTAGATAGAGATCAACTACAACTTGGGTTTGACATCATTTATTTCATTCATCTTTTTAGAACTACACATTTACTACATTTGGTTCCTGCAATAATTGATGTTACTTTGATTTCAACTCCTTTGTTCGTCATCTTGATATTTCCCTCTTTCATTGTGCTAACACATAAAGTATGACAACTTAATCAAGTGCACATTCATACTGATCTCTCAAATTATTCTTGAGTAACTCAATTCAATAATGACTAGGTTAGCATTTATTTTGATTTTATGTCCCGTGTCAAAAAACTGTAGTTTATTATCATAGTTAACGAACTGATCTAAGTTAAACAACCTTTGCAAACTACGTTTCACTGAACAGCTTTTTTGTTCTGGTATTCCAATTCTCAATAGTACGCATCCACGATCCTACATCACTTGTCATTTAATGGCACATTAAGCGGACTATACAAAAAGCACGATTTACGACTTAGTTTGAACAGACTTATCTTCCCATTATACCAACCGGATAATGCCTGTGAACTGGTGTTCATTTTGTTATCGCTTCCAGAAGCAACGCATGATGTGAAAAATCATGGTGTGTATAAGACAAACACACTGCTATTATTAGTAACACCATTACTACGAATGTTTAAATAAACACTCAATGAAAGAACAGAGACAGGTTCAAATCACTAACTAATCGCTTTGAAAAGTCAAAATAAAAAGATAAAGACTTTCCACGTAAAAAAGCAAACAAACACATTCTCCTGTTTTGAACAACAGGGAATAGTATACACGCAAGCACACACGATCCCAGACACTAATAAATACATACTAGCCCGTTGAATGAGCAGAAAAAAGGAAAGAAGACAGTGAAAGAAATATGCAGCAATGCTTTTCTTCCGGGTTTTTTCTCCATTTTTCTTTTTTGTCCTTAAAAGCAATCAAACTAAGAGACTAGGATAAAGACATGTCGACTAAAAGTAGTAGTAGTACAGATGATAGTCAGTCAGTAAGTAGTTAATTTATTGTTTAAAAGTACTGCTAACAACGAAGTGTTTATTAACAAGGATAATCAGTGAAAATAATACATAAAAACAGATAGACAGCAAGAGAGAGAACAGAACAAGCAGGAAGAACCGTATTACATTATACTGAATATATTCAAAAGAAATAATCAATAAAGAGAAAACTGTTAGCATCGTAAAAAAGTTTGTCTCATTACTTGAAAATTCCCACTTATTTTTCTTTAAAAAAAAAGACTGATGGTAAGGAACTGATTCAATGAATGAAATTATTGTATAAGTTAAGCGCTGAATAGTTTCCAATACAGTGTGTAGTTGTTTTTACAACTAATTACCAAGGTTTTAGTGGAAAGTTGTACCCAATGGAATTTGCTGAGATCAGGAATAGGACAGTCATTGATGATCGTGACGTTATGTTGGGAATATGAAATAATGGATTTTGATTTTATGGTCCCAATATGTTATGCTTGCCGAGAAACTTAAGACGTAATTATAGGTGAAATGTACATAATGATTAATTTCATGGACTTAAAATCTTTGAAATATCCTATCCTTGTTCATACTTTTGTCAAATTAATCTGAGTCATTTGAATGATGCATTCTTACTCAATCAATTAGTCGTACTCGGCTTTTAGTCATATTGTTTGTATAGCTGACCAAACAGAAGTAGTGTGGGTGAGATATGGACGTGTGACTTACTTATTGGAAAGTCGAGTACCTACCTTAGCTACAAAGTTACCGCAATTTAAGAGCATAAACTAGCGTTTCAGTTTACAAGTTGACCATAATGACAATAAGAAATTACAGTAATGTATTCAGTTATATGATTAAACAAAAAAGCGAAGAGATTTCGACTTACCGTTTACTTAAATGTTTGGCAACATCTGTTATACGAAAACCATCTAAATGAAAAAGTCTTTTAGCCAGTCTAAAAGCTGCACTACGATCTGCAGCTTTTGGTGGTTGATGATATATTGATTCTGTAGTTGATTCACTGTCCTCTGATTCTGATGAGTCTGATGAAAAAGTTGGTAAAAGATCTTTTAAATTATTTTCTGTATTTTTCACACTATCATTGGTATCTTGTAATGTTTCATTAGGATGTGATTTAATTGGACAAGATGCAATATTTTCGCCTAAACTATTCATTAAATGTGTTGTTGTCGTTGTCGTCGTCGCCGTTGTTACTGGTGATAAAGGGATTGGTGGTGCTACTGTGGACATGGTATGATTAGTTGGCTTCGATGACATGGTTGTGCATTTATGAGAATCAATACGATTCGATGAAAGAGGTGGTAGTGGAGGATATGCATGTGTAGTCTTACATTTTGTTTTTATAGATACACTTTTGTTAATTGAATAGTCTGAATGATCTAAGCTATCATCATTATTGTTATTATTATTATTATTATCATCATCATCATTAATATGACCATTTTCAGATGATTTGACAGGTGATGGATTATACTGCTTTGAGAAGAAAATAAAAATAAATAAAAAACTATGAATTGGAGTTAAGTTTAATTTATCGATATGATACATATTTCAGTTTACATCAAGATACTTGATTATAGCTACTACCTTGATGCGGTTGGTCATGCTTGGATATCGTGATAACGCAATTGAACTATATTGGGGCAGGAAAATTCCATTTTTAGGTACAGACATGCCAGGTAGGTTGATTAGAGTGAAAAACGTATGGTTTGAGGGCGAAGTTGTACTACTGATAGTGTATATATGGATGTGACGGCAGTAGTGCGCTGTCTTGAGACAACCAGCACCTCCAAGATTCTAGCTTTCCACAAAGGGAGGGGTTAGGAAACGGTCGGCTCTAAAAACAACACACCTCACCTAGCCGAATCGATTTCCTTTGCCATAAAAACGTGGAATTAACTCATCAAAAACTGTGATTAGCCTCAAGAAATCGTCTCCTGGACACTACAATCATGCGTCCAGGTCGTCAAGACCCCTTTTTTTTCAAGTATCTTAAGAAGTATCCTTTCGTGGCGTGGGCGACTGAGCATTGACAACTGCTCATATGCTCCTAACAGTACGTTAGATAACTGGCTGACATAAAAAGATCAATCAATCATCATCAATGTAAGACTTGATAGAAATATATATATTGCACGTAACAACACATATTACATAAGCACAGCAAGAAGAAATCACAATATAAAAAGGAACAATTTAAACTGTAGTACAAATCTAACCACCAGGAAATACAGTTCAAAAGAGAAATTAGATAGAAAAATGCAGTTATGAATGACAGTTATGTCAATATTTACAGGGATAGAGAGTTAGAGAATGAATGCAACTGAGCCACTGTGACCTATTTTACTCTCTTAAAACTGATAATATACGTGAAAATCGACTCGGTAAACTATTATCGACTGATACCTGTCATTATTATTCAATACATGGAAATTGGTATGATAATATGATACTGAGAGTTGAAAGTGAATCTGGATGCGGAACTCATCAGCTGATACGCTACATATCCTATCCACCTAGGTCGATGACGATTCACAACCTTATCAACCAATTTAGTATATTAACCTGTTACCCTATATCTAACCTCATCATTGCTTACTTGATGGTTCCAACAGAAATGACCAATGCTTCAAAGGTATTATCACATACTAGTAACCTATGAATATTCTCCAATTCTAAGGGCTACGTCTCATAGTTACGAGGTAAAACAGAGAGAACAACTGTGTATGCTATTTGTCCTTTGGTTGCCAGACTGATATGTAACCTACAAATACAATGGGTTATGAGTTATAAAATAAACTTGATGACTAAAACTGACTGTGAACTTAAATAAGAAAATATAGTGAGGTTGATGAGCTTTAAAAGAAAGCAAACATGCCTTATCGATATTCGGAATGAAGATGTTAATTTACAGTTTTTACAAGTAATGTCCTACCATTTTCTGTAGTAACTTTCTAATTACTCAACCCCAAAAGGTAGACGATGAATTGTAGAAACAACAGGAATAACGTTACGGTTAGTTGGATAAATAATTATACAAAAATATGCAACCAGTACTAACTCAGTAATGCGTTAAAAGAGATGACAGGATAAGACAGTTATCTAATTAGTAATGTGGAGACTGGCATAAATATGCAATTGCCTGACTTGTCATACCCATATCAGTAAAACAAAATACGATTATATTAGCAATGATGATGAGAAGAAATCAAACAATGAGAATATGATTGCATATGACAAGTTATTATCACTGAGAAAACAACACAAGGTAACACAACAAAAAATTCAGATTATCAACAAGAAACCAATTGAAGCATCACATACATGACTACTTTCCACTTAATTAAATAAACAGCAACAATAATCATCCTATATACATATAGAACAATGACTTCTTGGTGGTTAATGCGTTCAACTTTCAGATACTAAGTTCTCAGTTCGAACTCTGCTCTATTTTATTTTGGTTCAAGCAACCGAGTAGTATTTTATTAGCCTTCACATTTAGGATATAACTCATACCCAAGTATCTGGTGAATAATTTAATTAATTTGATTCATTAAAATTTGTTTTATACACACAGAGATAATCAATAGAGAAAGTACAAAATGTAATTATTCAATGCTGAATGTGTTGTTTAATGCAGACTCTTAGAAATTGCGATTTTATTCAACTACTAATATTTACACACCAACACACACACACACACACAAAACGCACACAAGTATAAATATATATCTAGTTAGTTGTTATTGATCGTCCAATAAATCGTTATTTGTCTGATAGTGTGATTTTTTTCCATTTGTTTTACACAGTATGGTGAAAATTTTTGTTTGGTTGCAACTATGTTCAGTTTTCTATCTTTGCTTATGTAATAATAAAAAAAAGTGGACGGGATAAAATCAGTTTCATGATAATAAACAGACATATACATATACACAAAATATTATCGATAATTATGTGTAGAATTAATGATGAGATGTAAAGATATAGGGAGGATGTGAGAGAACAGCAGAACAACACAATTCTGATATGGTTCCAATGAAAATTAATGACAGTAGATGAAAATAAGTAAGTCATAATACTTAAAAATACAATGAACATGATAAAAACAATTAAGTTGCAATTCCATATGAAATGGATTAATTTGATTGAAGTTGGTTTGGAGACAAAGTAAATTGTTCATTTTGAAATACTTATTCCAGAATCTAACTACTAATATTGTGCAGATTCGCCTGTTTCATATGTAATTAATGTGTAGTAACATCGATATAACACCCAGGAATTAGGTTTCACACATCAAATCTTAGTTGATTGAAGAGTAATTTGTGAAGTAATTTTCTCAAAATGCCTGTAACTTAACCTTATATTATGTTTAATTTCTGTATAAGCATTCAGAAACTCAAGTGGATAATCCAATCTCATCGGTAACTGTCACTCGGGAAAGATAAAGATTGAATGCATTTAGGCCGTTGTGACCGATTCAACCAGCATTTTCAACAATGGGCTACGGTATTCGAGTGGCTTATCAACTAGGTAGTCTGAACATACCAGCATGTCTCATACCACAATCAAGAACTACATGAGGGTTGGAGTAGGACAATAATCGTGAAAGTTTTGAGTATAATTGACTGTGAACGGTTAGTTCTCCATGCATGTTGGCTGAATATATGGTTTAACACTTAATCTATATGACTAATAATAACCTTTCTCAGCCTAAAGTTGATAAATTACAAATGATGTTAGTGTGTTTATTGTTTATCGGGGTACATATGAAATTTTAGCAGTATGATAGTAATAAAACTACTCTGAAGCCACTATAGATACAAATAATATTGACTGGTTACTATAACATCTGAAGGTTGTGATTTATTTAGTAGTCGAGTGTTTTGGTCAGTAAGTCAGTTTCATCAACATACATAAATGTCCTTATAATCTAAGAACTTAGATCGTTAAATATTTCTATGGTTTACCAAATCCAACTCATGGTTTTTCATTTGAATACTATGGTGTTATAAAAGATGCATCACATATGTACTGCAATGTAAATGCATTAGTGATAGTGGTAATCGTTTATATCTATAGAATATGCACTTGTATTCAAATCAACAAGATAAAGGAACTATTTATTTCATGACAAATTGGAATGGTTGATTATATTGATTTTTAAGCGGTATATACATATATATATATATATGCGAAATTCGTTTGCACTTAGTTTTATAGTTACTTTACGATCGATCACTACAGCTGATCGTTCACATGTACTTTAAGTAAAAAAAATTCAGAATAAGAATGCCAATAAATAAAATAGCAGGGATTAATGTTATTATTAACATCGAGTATCGGTGATATATGGGGTAGTGTGATAAGAAAGAAAATCAAATTCCGTTAGTTAGTCATAAGGAATGCATCAGTTCAAGTTGCTATATCACATTAACACAATGAGGCAAAATTATCAAGACAAAACTCAGAAGTATGAGGAAATAGTAACAGTATCAATAGTAGTAAAAAAAATGTTAGCTATTGAAAAAAAAAACGAAAAAAAAGGTATAAAAAGATTTTGGAATTCAGGAACCACGAAAAGAGTGATGGTACTTGGGCCATTGTGCACGATTCTGAGTTAAGTCGCCCAAAGTCTCTAATCATTCGTTATAATAATTACTTAAACCCCAACTAGGTAGTCTATGTCTTCTTACATCATCAAGTTTAAAGATCAATAACTTTCTAGACTGGTGCCATCACTCAGTTTATCTATTCCTAGGTTTCCCGCAGCCTTCTCTAAACCAGACATCGTCCGTCGAAGTAAGTGGTGGTTGGACATGAGTTTTACATGTCCAAACCATCTCATCACCAATAGATTTGCCATTTTCAACTAGTCAACCGGTCAGTCCAATGAAATTTTATTTAGTATCTTATGGCTAACTTCAGAATTGCTGACCAAATGATCTCAATGTAACTGAGCAATGCATTGAAGGTATCTATGATCAAACTTTAGGAACCTACGAATATTTACTTTCTTGATAGTTATTTCACGCTCACAAAGTAGAAGTGAACTGTTGCATAGGAAACTTATCCCTTTGTTGCCAGAAGCACACCTTGCCTACTCCACCAGTCAGAGAAGTTGCCAAATACTAATATTTTTTTGAAAACGTTGCAAGATTTCGTCAGAGACCGACCAACTGAGACTGATGACACTTTCCAGATAAGTGATGTGGTGAAAGAGCTCAACATCAGTCAACAAAACGACCGTATGGTTATCTCCATAGCAAAAAAATGAATAATCGACTTTGTCATTTTCTTCCAAAACTTGATAGTGCAAATTCCGATCTCTAGAGAGGTTGTGGGTGTGCATTATTGAGTGAAACGGTGGTTCGGTGGTTAAACAACTGTTTCAACTAATATATCAAATTCAGCTTTACTTATCTTGTACTGGGGAACAGGGTAGTATATGTAGTGTTAAGTAATATAATGTAGTTAGCTTCTGAGCATATATTTTTCACATGTTGCAAAGGACAGATTCCAACAATTTCACTTCTTAAGACATAAAACAAGAGAAAACAGACTTCTCGGGAGCTTTTAAATTCCATAAAGAATTAGTATTAGGATGTTGGGAATTTGTCTCCTGTTTTTGACCAATCACTTTTCTTAATACAACCAAACGACTCGAAGATAAACCTAGAGCCAAAGCGTATATAACCGTACACTACTGATATGTTTTTGCATTTTTGAGGTAAGGTCGTTAGTGCTTTCGTATTTGAAATGTAATTTAACTTTACCCGAGTAAACTGTTTGTGAATTTTATTAAATTTGTTTCAGTAATATTTGTAATCAGACTTCATTCTCATTATCGAACTTTTTTGAAATTTGCAATATCTAAAACTGTACAGAAACTTTTCAATCCTTTTGGTATTTTTTTTCCTTCAATGACGCCGTAGTGTAGTGTACGTTACTCACAAGGACGTTTGTAGGTAACGTGTAGAGGAACGTTGTGTCGAAGTCGCAATAATTGTCGGATAGAGTGGAGTTTTATTGCATCGAAAGCACAGTGTTGGTAGAAACACTTGAAGGCCAGTAGAGAAGACAGTTCAGATTGCAGGACATACCGAAAGGTACAAGTTGACGGTTGAAGGCTATGTATATGTTCAGCTTTGAGTTGCACTTCAAGTGGGGAGTAGTGGCACTACCCGTCTATTTAAAATGAAATAGTTGCGACGGAATTCAGATACAAAACATACTTGTTGCAGGTTTAGTGCCCTAACCACTGGACCACTGCTTCACATTATATGAAATGAATAGTATATGCAATAGATCTAGATCACCAAAGCTAATTAATTTGGAATTCCTTTGATTTTCACATTCACATCATCATGAAATTTCTTGATTTGTACCACGATAAAATATTATGTTAAACATTAGAACTATATATTATAAGTCTTTTCTTAACAGTGAACAATTCAAATTAATCTTGCCATTAAAAGACACAGTGATAGGTTAGTCATAGTTTTAAATAACCAAGTAAGCATGAAGGTGTTAGCCGGACATAGATTGGATTGTTTAGTGGAGTTTAAAAAAAAAACAGTGAAAGAGATCATAGTATAAACAGAGGTACATCTAAGCAGCTACAGTTATACATTAGACAGTATAAAACAATCAGGTTATATACATAAATACACTTACTCCATGTGCAGATCTTTTATTCAACAATAAATCGGATATCAGTGGACCACTTTTTGAAGCCTGAGATCCTGTCGAATTTGGCTTCATTGTCAGACGATGACTACTCTCAAGATTATTATTATTATTATATGAAACTGGTACTGGAATACGTGATTTAAGATTTGACAAATTCGATAGAGTCTTATTAGCACTTAACATAACATCAGATGACGATGATGGTCCAGTCACTTTCAACTGTTCGCCACCACCGACAGGTTTATTTGATTTAGGAGGGATGAAAAATGAAGTGGTTTTGTTTAAAGACATACAAGAACGTGGTAATTGATGAGTATTTTGTAAGGATTCATCAGTAGGTAATCCATTATGTGAACAACCATTCCTATAATCATCAAGATCATGTATAACGGTAGCAACAGTGGCAGGAGTATGTGATGAGGATGACGATAATGATAATGATTTATTAGAATTATTCGATGTCAATGTAATTACTGTTAAATCACTTGGTGATTCTGACGATAATATTCCACCACCACTGACAGTACAAGCTAAACTATCCAAACCGCATATTGATGACGATGATGATGAAGTACTATCATCCATGAATTTTAAATCACTTGAACAATTATTCTGATTATTGAGTGGCGATAAAGTTTCATTAGTTATTACGAATTTAGAACATTCATGGCTAACAGTTGAAATTGCATTTGTTGTTATTGGTGTTGTTGGTAAATCATTTTTACCAGTTACCGGATGTGAATAGAAACACTTTAATGAATCCTTTTTAAATAATTGACGATGATGATTATCATAAGAACAATTGGATCCTGTTTCCATACTGGGAAAATAATAACAATAACCATATAAGTACCACTAAGAAATGAAAAAAATAATATAATTATATGATAGTTAGTGAAGGAATTTTTGAAAAAAGACCTTAATGAATATTTTAAACATGGTATTGGTACTACTTGGTCTTTCTACACGGTTTGTACAAGTTATTTGCATACGGTTACGATGAAGGTGATTAGGATTGGTAAGATGAACTCTTTCCCTGGTTCCTATATACATAAACGACTTGATATTTATATTTGAAACGAGAACAATATGTTTCGATAATGTAGTAAGAAAACGTCTTATTACATTATTGAAATTTATCAAATGGACTAATTGCTTTAAACAATATGTTTGACAAAAATCAATTTCGCTCAGAAAAGTTATGGTATTTTTTCTATTAATATAAATGATTAAGTCTCGTAATTTGTTTACACGGTTTAAATAAATGTACTCGGCTTTAAACAATATATTGTTGTTTCACAGTTAGTAATGCTATTTGGCTCCCTAAACCAAAGTGAAACGAGATCCCATGATTGAAAGTGGTGTAATTTTACAAGTGCTAAGCCACCATTTTACAAATGATTCGTAATCTAGAACTGGGTCGTCTTGAAATCAGTGAAAGGGAAGTTACTTGTCTAGTGTAATCAGGTAGACAATAAACTCGGAGATAGGTTGAAAATATTCATTTTACCAAGTTATTCGACTGTTGTACAAATCTATCAAATGTGAAAAATCCCTTAGTAGTTAACAACAGAAGCAGATTCCAAGGATGTTAAATTAGAAACCAGAACCAATGTACCACGGCTTAGCTGTGTTAAAAAAAATTTTAATTGAGGGTATGTCAAGCACTTAATACTTCGCAGTAAAAATGTCAACTATTAAACTGTCTTCGCTTCTACCCAACATTTCAGTAAGTTCAATCTCAGAACAAAATTATGTTCACCAAAAGTTTCTCAAACTTTCAGTTCGGTGACAAACGATTATAAGGAGCAACAGAACTATAAAAGTAACACTCAATGGGCTTTAGTCGATAAAGAACTTACAGACTGGATAGAAAACTAACTCCATTGTAATTTATAAAAAAAAACGTTTACCGAAATACTTTTATATTACGTTGCCGTCAAATCTCTTGCAATGAGGGCATTAGTCAAACGTGGAAGAACTCTGAAACCAGGTTGTCCCCCCAACAAAAGATTATTCCTTTCTACGTGACCTAAAACAGAAGCTTTCCATCAATTTAACGACAATACCAGTAAGGCTGACTGGACGATAGTTATTTATCAAATAGACAGAACTAGTTATAGTATCCTTCCAATTTCTTGGAAGTTTCAATTGCTTCAGAGACATATCAAACACCATTGCCAGTGGGTTGGCAATAACATCCGTCAGTTACCGTAGTTTGAAAGCAACCTCGTCCGAAAAACTGGACTTGTCCGGCTTGAGATGTTAAATTAGTTGTAGGACAGCTCCATGATCAACAAACGGGACTCACCAATAATACGTGTATTTTTAAGGTTAACAGCTGATCTTTCATTGTCATCAATGGAAAGTACCTGAAGTGCTTTCGCGAAACTACAGGTCTGCCAAAACCTTCCTTTACTGTTACTAATAGATTTATTTGAAGCACAAATGATAACATTCCACCATTCTTCGCATGTTTCTAACCCTCAGTCAATTATAATCAATCTAATGCCTGGCACAAACATGCATATTTTTAAATTTAAATCATGGAATAGTATCAATTGATTATTCTGTTGACATACAATACTCTTTGATGGTTAACTTGTTTGCTCACCAGACATTTGGACGAGGTTGAACCTAACCATAAAATACAACAAGCTATGAAACTGAATGACCTAACTGTAAGATCAATAATGATAAGGAGTAGTAGAAAATAATAACTAGGTGGTAAGTCCAGTATGGAAGATCCTCGGTTTCAGTAAATGTTGTGCTAAAGCGTGTTCCATAAATCCCGACCATTGCTGACACTTTGACGTGGTGGTCGGGCTTGCCTATCGTGATGAACCAATCGAGCTATACTGGCGGGAACAATCATCCCTCAAGGTTCTACTATGCCAGACAGGTCGGTTGAAGAGCGGTAAGACTAAAAGCAACAAACCCAAGGTATGAAGGCGAAGTCGTACTGCTGACTGTACATAAGTGTGACAGCAGTAAGGTGTTTCCTTCAAACAACCAGCATAACAGAGATGCTGCCTTCCCACAAGGAAGGGTGGGGTTAGAAAAGGTCGACCCTAAAAATGCACATCTCGCCTTATCCCACGGATATCCGTCTCCGACAGAAGATCTTAACAAGTACGGAGCTAACACGAAAAGGTCACCAGAACGGAGCCGACGAGATACAACCTCCGTGTATCTGGCGACCCAATGTCTAATTCTCGTGGACTGGCGGGTGTAGGTATAGCACTATGTACGAGGACAGGACATGCAGTGTTAGAGTGGACTTCTGTGCTAGTCGGCCAAACGGCTCCATAAGAACTCGGAAGGATAAGGACACATGTCGTTGCCTTTCAGTTGTTTTTGCCTACGCTTCCACTGATTGCAGCCCGGATGAAGTGAAAGGTGACTATTACAGAAACCAACGATGGACTCAAATAGACCATATTGCCATCAGTGGAGAGGCTCGATAGAAGACTGCCGATCGTCCTGGAGTACGTGCGTCAATACCTGAACTAAGAATAGAGAGTGAAGTAATCGAATGCGTCGACAACTTCACTTATCTTGGAAGTCTGATCAGCCATAATGGGTTGGTGTCTGACGAAATCTCTGTGAATTCAGAAAGCTGGTTTGGCTTTTGCCGACTTACGTCGTCTATGGCGAAGGCGAGATTTCCGTCTATCAATTAAGGGACAAGCATACTGTGCAGCAGTTCGTTCCGTCCTACTTTACGGCTGCAAAACATGGCCACTAAGAGTAGAAGATACTTGTAAGTTACTAATATTCAACCACAGATGTCTTAGAAATATTGTTTGCATCTGCTGGGATCACCGGGTAAGTAATAATGAGGTTAGACGCAGGGTATTAGGGAATGATACTAAATCAGTTGGTGAGCTTGTGAATCTTCGTCGACTGAGATGGTTGGGTCGTGTTACGTATGCCTAAACACCGAATACCACGAAGCACAATGCTGACTAGTGTTGGGGATGGTTGGAAGAAAGTTAGGGGGCCAAACCAAAACGTGGCGTCAGTCCAAAAAGTCACTAACTTCTAGTCTTAGTCATGTTGGTAGATGCAGACTACTTGGTTAGAGTCCGCTTGATTATTGCAGCCAATAGTTGGAGACTCTGGGTGATATGGCTCAGAATCAATCACAATGGCGTCGGTGTATACACTCTGTCTTCCCTTGAACTAAGAGTTTAAAATCGTTTCATATCTTTCTTTCTAAGAACTGATTCTTTCTTCCTGTACTATGTACTGATATGTAATCTTTCTTTTATATACTACCACCGCCACTGAATTAACTACTCCTATGAATCCGGTGTTCATCTTGTTGTGTTAATGAAGTATAGCAACTTGAACCAATGCACATATGTGCCTGGTCCTACGTTGTAACTGACTGAGACTGAGTATTGACGTACGAAATTCCTAAAGCAAAAAATATCCGGAAACCCTGAATTTTCGCGGTCTTCAAATTGATACGAACTTTTCTCTCAGATGACCAGCCAACTGGATATATGTTTATGTCACGAGGCCCTAAAATGCCCTGATACGGCCGAGAGTCGGAAGAGTCAGCTCTCCTTCAAGAAATGATCCCACGTGGCCACGTGCATAAAATTACTGCCATGGAAGTCATACTCACTGCTTTCTCGCAGCGGGGGTGTTGTTTACGAAATTGAGAGGATGAAGAGTGAATATCCGGTGCTCTAAACGGATTAGTGGATATGGACGATTCACATGGGGGAGTTGGAGAACCATGATCCTAAACCAAGGGTGCACATAGGCTCCAATATCCTGAAAGAACAAATGGAGTATAAACCAATCATTAGCCACCAGCTACCATGGGACTGCACCTCCTAACGTTGCTTCGCTGCCTTGTAGATCAGACCTTTAGGTCGAAGGTTCCAGCTGTGGCCCCCTAAGGAAACCACCTGTTTCAGTCTAGGCACTCCGGCAGTATCATAGCCAACACAAATCAAGTGACTTGCGTGGCACATATGTATTCAGGGTCCCTTTGTACCAATATTTATGTTTAAATAAATAATATTATTTATTCGAATATCACATTCCACTTGCCGTGTAAAGGACATTTAATCTCTGGACATTGTAAGTTAGGCCAGTGACATAAGAGTCGATCTGTGCATTGACAGAACCAGCATAATGACATTTACTTTGACTATATGTTACGCCTTTTTTGAATATGGTTTTTCGTAACATTTAAAAGCGTAGGTGTCCGATACAAGATGTAAGTAATATCAAGACATAGCCACAGACTTACTCTAACAGTGAGATAGTATGAGATTTGTGCGTGCTTTGTGATACCAACAGTTGGACTAATCATGACGGATGCCACCCTTTACTGGTTAACAGAAGCCTAGCATTTAGAAGCCATTTTCAAGCATAAAGAATCTTCAAAAGTGACTATTCACGGAAGTAATAAAAGAAAATCTACCACGGACTGCTTTGGTACTTGATAGAGTTGCCAGAAATAGTTCAAATAAAGCAAAACACAGTAGGGTTTGATTTCTTAAAATGATCAAAATCAACAAGTTTACTCTAAGATTTAACAACATCGTCTTATTTAATAACATAAAGGAGCTTGCTACTCCAGCAGCTGACATAATGGAAAACAGAAACGTGCAGATAATTTCCATCAGAACCAATCAAGTTATTGAATACTGCTCAGTAAATGTGACTAGTTGAAGATCGACAAGATATTATGTCAGCACAACCACAAATCATGTACAACAGTAACGTAAAAAAAGAAACAACAGTATATGACTTACCTTATTATCGAACTACGCTTTTATGACTGAATGTAGCGA